TATGTCTTCACTCAGGAAAGGGTTGTACGCTATCCCTATGATTCCGGACACGTAGCTGTACGACTTCTTCTTGATCGGTCCACAATACTCACTGGATTTCGGCAGTGCCCCCATAGATTCTTTAGTGAGTCTCAGCTCCTTGTTTGAAAATCTCCTGAACTCGTCTATCTTTCTCATGGGCTCTAACTACTCAGGTTCTTTCATATTCAACCGCATCGGCTTGCTTTGATGCATATCCAGCAGTGCTAGCAAGAGTAAGGCTTTTGCTCGTTCATCGCCCTCCCTCAGCATCTTGACACAGGTGTTCAATGCTGGTACTGAAATCTGCTCTGTCATGAATCGAATGAAACAGAGAGCGTCTCTCCGCTTCGAGCACGCTACTGCTGCTCCCTCTTGGGTTATCAGATCCCTCAGGTTCGTCATAAGGAAAACCTTCTCTTCTTTTGACCTCTTCCTTTCTTCCGAATCATACTCCTCGCGAGTCAATCCCATCATGCACCAGGCAAACCTCAGTTGTAATTCGGTTCTCACGTAAGGTACCGCCATGAGAGCGTGTATTCTTGGCGCAGTACTCATCTCTTCTTCGAAGTACCGTAACACCACTGCTTTCCATGGAAGGCTCACCAATTGCTCCATCGTTTCTGCCTGCATCTCAGACGACGCTAAAGTCCCGTACGCCTTCTGCTTGAGGGTGGTGCCTTGCAACATCGTCTCCAGATAACTCTCCATGGCACTCATGCCTTCCAGAGCCATCACATACCCTCTAGCCGAGTTTCGGTACTCCAACATCTCCATGTATCCACCGGCGGGTTCATCTATCGACACAGTCTCCGACACGGTCAGTCGGTTATACTCCAATGGTACTAGTTGTCCTGCGACACTTCCCTTTCCGTGGTTCATGGGAGATGGTTTAAAGTCTTTCAATGTGCTTTCTCCACATTGGCTGAGTATTTCCATTTCTAAGGTTGCTCCAGTCAGAGTGCGGTCACTTTTTTTGGATTTGTAACCTGTTGACTTTATCCCTGCCATGAGAATGGGAGGCACCATCGCTACATCAGTTAACATTTTGTCCGTGCCAGGCAGTTGATAATCACCTTGTCCCAAATCCATGACCTCTTCGACCCGTTTTCTTTTCGCTGAATTGACAATTTCATCGATATCTCTGAATCCACCTTCGTCTTTCCTACTCTCCTCGGTATCATTTTGCTGCCTAACTTCATCTTCACCTCGTTGATCTTATCAATCACCAATTTTGATCGCATCGTTCTCTTCCTGGTTCTTGACAGATATACCACCTCTCCTTTATCATCCTGCGGTATCATCTTGATGGAAGAGTTCGCTTCACTTTCATCAGTGGCTGAGTCAATCATCAACTCACTCAATCTCCCTTCACACTCATCAAGTTTGTCAAGGACTTCCCGCATCAATGGTCGGTTGAGACCTAGTTTCAAAATGGACTGGGTCCCATAGCTCTGAACCACTGTCCAGACTTCTTCCATGAACGCCACTCTGTCCAATCTACATCCCGTCCTACTTTCATGGTCTCGGTGATGTACTTCCCACTCTTCTTCGGGCAACATTCCCAAGAAAGGTACTCTGGCAGAGCATTCTATTCTTCTTCTCCTAGGTGATTCCATGAGGATTCTTTGTTCGTTATTTCTCGAATTGCCCGGAGAGCTGCTCTCCGGCAATTTCCGATTCATTTCTGTAAAGGCTGACGGAGGTTCCAGCGTCGAAGTGCCTTCATCTGCTGGCTCAGTCGCCTCCAACGTATCCGCGTTGTTCTCAAATCACTGAGGAAATTGAAATCAGGCTGGATACTCCTCCTGTCGATGCACTGTCGTCTTCCCCACCAGCTTGATTTACATCTTGTTGCATGGGTTCTTCCATTTGACGGCTTCCTACCTGCTCATCATCTCCTTCTGACGTATCCTTCTTCGAGCTTGAGGGTCCTTGCTTTTCAGTGTCGGCCCCTTCCAGAAATTTCGGTATGATCAGTGTGCCGGCCGATCCATCCTCCTCTTCTCCATGGACCACTTTGATTTCCTCACAGCCGAAGGGTGCTAGGAAGGTTCTCCTCTGCAGCGTTCCTCCTACTGTCAACTCCGGTTTCACACTAGTCAGGATCAAGGAGGCCTCAGACAGTTTCGTTGCCTCTCATCTTCATAGGCGCTAGGCCTAATTCCGCCCATTCCTCCAGGCTTGGGAGTCGCGGCGTTGCTTATTCGCCTTCTCGTCGCTTGATCCGTGTAGGCAAATCGTGTATACTGTAACACGGCAATATTCCTTCCCACAAAGTATGGATCCATTCTTACCACGAATTTTCCTACTCTCCTTTCATTGGTTTCAAATGCTCTCAACCTTGGAGTTTGTACCACGGAGACTGCTCCGAGCAATATCCTTCTTATCAGAGGGAATTCAGGGATCTTTTCCGGCAGCTTCTCGTAATCACCCCAGTTTTTCGTCTCTTTTCTCACCTTGAGATATGCTGTAGTGAGACGAGGAACTCTGGTTATTTCACCATTCGTCTTATCATAGGGTCTCAGATTCCAGAGCTTCGGAAACACCTCGATGTGCCCTCTCTCTACTTCTCCCATACGATCACGGAAGTGATCATCAAAGTTGATGACTGTCATTTCTGGCTCTGATATCTTCGCAAATAACAGATCATCGCTCATGAGCTCCCGCAATGCGTGCTGCTCACACCAGTTCAGCGCACTACCGTCCACTGCTGATATGAGGTTCAGGTGCAGCACCGACCTCCTATACGCCTCCACTTTAACATCAGGGAACGCAAACGTGACTGCTGGTCCATAGATCACTGTCACAAACTCCGTGGCTCCTCTGATCAACGCTAAGGGATCAGTCCTCATAGCCAAGCTCAGATCGGTTAGTAGGGGCATGCCCCCAACATGTCGTCTCGCATCTTCTTCCCTTTCGATAGTCCCATCTTCTCCCGTTTCAAAGCGATTTTGTTGTAAGAGATACTGGATAACAGTGTGTCTCAGGACTCTTATCTTATTCCACGGGTCCGTGGCTCTCTTCATGTCTAATTTCCTCACCTTCTCTCTCATCTGCTCTGGACAACGTGTCAGCTTCATTAGTCCTCCCAAGTTTCCGTGGGTAATCGCAATCAATGTTAGAAGCCCATCTAAACGCAGGTTCTGAACTCCTTCGGTGAGCAGTACCGCCGGTCCTTTCACGAAACTCTCTGCTCCAAACGTCACGAACACGGCTAGTAGTTCCACAATCGATACTTCCACTACGGCTTGGAGGAATTCCTTTATCAAGTTATGAGAGAGCTTCGGGTAGACTTTCGCCAAGAAGGACGCGGTCCATCCGGCTCCCAACCTAGTTGAATTTTCTGAAGTAGTTGGTGTTGGTGACTGGGGTATATCAAAATGAACTCCAGGGGTTTGAAAATTTCTATTTCTTCGTGGACGTATAATTTGTCTGTTTATTTCAACTGTATTTTGATTTTGACTAGTGTGTCTTATTCTGTTTAAGTCTTGTGGTAATGTGGGGTACAAATTATATGTTGGTTCACTTAGGGGTGCTTGTCGCTGAACTGGTTCTAATGGTTCGGATAAGCGAGCGTGTCGTTCTAAAAAAGTGTATGGGTTATTTTGAAAAGAAATTTGTGTGGATGTTTGGGGGTTTTGGCTAGTTGTGGGTTTTCTTGGGATGATGTCGGTGAAGACTGATTTTGTGATTGTTGGTTAGCAATTTTTGAAACGTGTCCGATTGATTTTTTCTAGTGGGAAGATTTATGTTTATTGTGATTTTGTGATTGTTGGTTAGCAATTTTTTAAACGTGTCCGATTGATTTTTTCTAGTGGGAAGATTTATGTTTATTGTAGTATTCTTCGATGAAAAGAATTAAAAAGATTGTTGCCAAGGCGAATGTGACTACTGTCGTTTTTACACATTTGCACATTGTCATTATTAGGGATGATAAAAATGTGATTAAAATTACAAATAGTAAAAAAAATATCTTTTCTAAAAATTGTTCGTATCATTTAAATTGAAATTGAATTATCGTACCTGTGAATATGATCAATGATTTGGGAAAGTTGGAGATATATTTCTAATAGGGAGTAGAAAACTTAAAAAATTTTGCAAAAAGTTATTAAAAGGATTATAAAAGCTTCAAAAGTATCGATTAAAAATATGAACAAAAGTTTGAATAGTATGAAAAACTTTATGAAAAGATTAAAGATTGTATTTTTCAAGATATTGACTGATTGAGAAAAGAGCATTTAAGAAATGATTTCTTCGTCGAATATTTTTTGTTGTTTGAGGCGAAATTCAAGTGTGGTCGGATTATTCATTGGTTTTTTGACAAGTGGGTTGAGTTTTGTGAAAAATTGTTGGAGGCTAATTTTATGGTGTTCGGGAGGTCTTCTTTGCTTTATTTTTATTTGTCGGGTGATCTGGGGTATGTTTGAAATATTTGTGCTTTAGGCCAAATGATTATGGTCATTTTTTACTTTAGGCTAATTCGCCATTTTTGGTTGGAGGGTTTTTGAGGTCTGAGTTGGGAAAATATTGTTGATCTTTGCGTTATTAAATAGGGGAGGGTTGTAATATTATGGTGGTATTTATTTTAGTTGTCAAGTTTTAGCGAGTTGCTTATTTTTGACCTGGAGGTTGTAAAGTTATAGTTATAGATATGCCTGGAGTTTAATATCTATCGGCTAATAGGTTGGTGTTAGTGATGTATTTGTATTTCTTGGATACATCTCGTTAGATGAGTTAGGATTGATGTGGTTAACTCATAGAGTAATTTCGGAGAGGGTACACCGTCTGCTCGTCACGCTATCTTATTTTCGGCCGGATAGATTCTTTGAGAAGATGATTTTCCCCGTTTTTTGTGTCTGTCTGCCGATATATTCCAATCCATTAACGTTTCGCCCCCTTTATCTTTTGCTTTGAGCTGGCTGCTATTTTTTTTCGGATGAATAGCGAAAAGGAAGTCTGCATTTTATCATTATCTGAAGAGTAAGCGGAAAACGAAGATTATTCATCAGAAGTTTTTTTGAAGTTATTTCTGCCAGACAACTTAAAACACCGTCGATTCATCGGATCGCACGAAAAAACTGTTTGAAGCCACTAAATTTTTGTCTACAAAATTTAAAGGAACAGTTAAAACTAAGACCTCGGGTATTGTTTTTGTTTGGTTTTTGCATTCACGATGAAGTCAAAAAACTTAAGCTTTTTGCAATACATCTTCGTTGGCTCGTTTATTTTGTTCAAGTTTTGTGATTGTCTACATAAATCAGAAGAATATGGTCCGACAAATGGAGTTGAGGGAGAGCAACGTTTGATGAAGAAATTGAAGAGTAGCATACCTACCATGTGGCCGCCTGTGGATATGGTCAACAGAACGGTATTCATCTATGTTGATCTATTCAAGATACAAGAAGTGGACGAAAAGGTGAGGATCTCTTTCATCAATTCAAATTGTGTATCGATTTTGTTTGACACTTGTAAAAAGCCTGAAACTCAAAAAAAATGATCCAGTCAGCTGACAAAGATTGAGACCGTCTCAAATTAACTCATATTAATTCTGATACTCTTTTTGTAACACTGTTATCAGAAATTTAGAGCATGTTTGCGATCTTGATTAGGTACAAGGAGAATACCTGTTTTGTTGATAGAATGGCATGTGGGTCGGCAAATTCTTCATCTATGTCTACTACTATTCGCCCAGTGCCCAATGGAACAAGAGTGAATACAACAATGGCACCGTCGAGTCATTCCTCCTTCCCAAAGGCACACTTTGGATGCCCGATATTAGTAAGTCAGGCCACTTTTGACCTTTATTGAATTACAACGAGAACGATTGAAACTCATGCGCAGAATCGAAACTACAACTTACCACTAATCATCAGTACCACTTGTCATCGATTATAATCGATTATAAAGAATTATTTTTTTTTTGGCAATATAGCTCTGACATTTTAACCACATTTTTAATAAATTGTATATAGAAATTGTAATTCTCATAGTATATGAACTATAAAAAAGTAATAAAAAAAACTTTAATAAAATTTTACTGCTGCTTTTGCAAAAGACTTGTTTCTTTTTTTTAGTGTGAGATTTAACTTGGCCAGAAAAAATTTATTTTTTTATACTTCACTTCCTAATGTTTTTTGTATGTTTTTTATACATTTTTTTCAGTTTCATAATTTTTTCCGCCCTGCATTTATTTTCTTCAATTTACGTCCCTCCCCGTTTTCAACTTATATCACCCATATTTCACTTTTCGATCTAAAAAAAAAATTTCCTCAAAACATTATAAAAGCGCATATATTCGACTACCAGGCCTTCTTCTATCATTTTTAGCTGATTGTGTAAGGCCAGGCCTGGGAATAGCCACTTTGGTAAGTTCTATAACTTTATTAAATAATGGAGGCTGAGTTTTTCCAGTTTTTCCGAAATAAATTTTTTTGTTTCCCAATTTTTCTGTTTTTCGATTTCTATTTTTCAGTCACTACTATTTGCTAGCTTGCAATTCTGTGCTTGCGTTGTATCCCAAAGGACGCAAGGATCCGCATTGCCGCTGTAATTTAATTTTGAGCTTCGAGCTTAAACATTTTTCAGAGTGTAGAAAATGTGTGTCAAAAAATGGCTTAAAAAAGACTGGAGAAAAAATCATTCCCGAGGACAAATATTCCATTGTTTTTTCTAAAATTTGGAACTACGAGATTTTTGAGTTATACTTTGAGAAAATTTTAGTCGAAAAAAGGAATGCAAAGATCACAAGCTGCAGCGTCTAAAAATGGTGAGAGCAGACGCTAATTTTATTTTTTTCTGACCCTTTTTTGGAACAAATTTGTCACAAGTTTGTTCATATGAAAAAAATAGGCTGGTATTTTTTGTTTTTGTTTGTTCGGTAGACCGCAGAAAGTGTTTAAAGAGAAAAGAGCAGTTAAGTTGCTTATGAAGCTAAATTTTTTTTCATACAAGATGATAATTCTCGTTGAAATACATTAGAAATAGGTACAGGCGACTTTGCCGAGGTACAAATGCGCTAGCTTCAATGACTTTTTGATTGAGGCGTGTAATACTGCGTTTTTTCAACTATTTCGTTTTATCACTTTTTGTTCCGACCATTGAAAATGGGGAGGAGCTTTGATTTCTCATAGATTTTTGTTTTTTTGTTTTCCACGCAAAAGCAGCTACCACAAATTGTCATCAGACATTTCAAAGCCCTTTCAGACGTGATTCATAGGACATCAAAAAAATTTTAAAAAGCTTTCCCGGTGTCGAGAAAAACCGTTTTGAAATTTTGATTTTTGTCCAATCTCGAGCAAGTGAGCAGGCTTACATTAGCTCATTAATGCTTAATTTAAGCCTTGCAATTCTATTTTTGCTCTAATGAAGTTAGTTTTTGGAGTTTTTACCTTCATCTTAGGAATCAAAAACTTCAATTTTTTTGTTTTCGTTTTGAAAAAAAATTTCCGCTCTACTTTTTCGCTCAGATTTTTTTTCACTTCAAGCCGAAAAAACGACTCTAATTGAAAAAATAATTTTGATGTAATTTTTTAAGACTGGTCGGAACACTCTGTGCTACTTGCACAGTAACCGGTTATCCTTGTATCTATTTTGTTTTAGTTGTACATGAGGCATCGGAAAGAAAGTATGACGCGTTTAACAGACAGGTGGTGTTTGAACATGGAATGATTTTGGCAATGACGACTCTAACAACTTGTCAAATGAGTTGCCTCTTCGATGTGTCCCAGTTTCCCTTCGATTCGCAGCAATGTGTAGTAACTTTGACAACTCATGTGTCGCGACCATCCGACTACCAGCTAGGTGCACCCTTAGTCATACGTTTTTGTTATTTCATTCATCACATTAGGCAGAAAAAACGCCAGCGCTTTGGAAAACTATACGAAAAACTTTCAACTGTGTTTTGTGTGCTCGGATTTTTCTGTGCTCTTTGCTCCACATCTGGCTACTCTTGCTGTATTATTGAGCGATAACAATGGGATGTTTTTGATTCGGTTTGAGGCATTTTTTTTTGTTTTTTGGCTTTCCAGCCTTATGAAGCCGTGAAAATTACCCAAATTTTTCAAAAATTTTGGCAAAAAAACTTCAAAAAATAGCCGATTTTGATCGATACGGTTGATGCATATTGGGGTCAAACCCTACCAAATTTTGGTCGAGAACATTCAAAGATAAAGTGAGCATCCGAATCGGGTTTGGCGGCAAACATAAAGTGAGCTATGTTTTTTTATTAAGTGGTCTTTATTTCTGAGAATCGTTCTTCATAAAAATTTGAGCTTTTTTCATGGAGTTGCATGAATGAATATATTTATGAATACATGAACGGGGGGGGGGAGGGTTTCATCGACCTTCTCAAAAAAACTCATTCAATCTTCTTGCAACACAAAAAATTTACCAAATAAGTGCTTTTTATAGACAATAAGTGCTTTTTATAGACTTCTGCTTGAGGGTGGTGCCTTGCAACATCGTCTCCAGATAACTCTCCATGGCACTCATGCCTTCCAGAGCCATCACATACCCTCTAGCCGAGTTTCGGTACTCCAACATCTCCATGTATCCACCGGCGGGTTCATCTATCGACACAGTCTCCGACACGGTCAGTCGGTTATACTCCAATGGTACTAGTTGTCCTGCGACACTTCCCTTTCCGTGGTTCATGGGAGATGGTTTAAAGTCTTTCAATGTGCTTTCTCCACATTGGCTGAGTATTTCCATTTCTAAGGTTGCTCCAGTCAGAGTGCGGTCACTCTTTTTGGATTTGTAACCTGTTGAATTTATCCCTGCCATGAGAATGGGAGGCACCATCGCTACATCAGTTAACATTTTGTCCGTGCCAGGCAGTTGATAATCACCTTGTCCCAAATCCATGACCTCTTCGACCCGTTTTCTTTTCGCTGAATTGACAATTTCATCGATATCTCTGAATCCACCTTCGTCTTTCCTACTCTCCTCGGTATCATTTTGCTGCCTAACTTCATCTTCACCTCGTTGATCTTATCAATCACCAATTTTGATCGCATCGTTCTCTTCCTGGTTCTTGACAGATATACCACCTCTCCTTTATCATCCTGCGGTATCATCTTGATGGAAGAGTTCGCTTCACTTTCATCAGTGGCTGAGTCAATCATCAACTCACTCAATCTCCCTTCACACTCATCAAGTTTGTCAAGGACTTCCCGCATCAATGGTCGGTTGAGACCTAGTTTCAAAATGGACTGGGTCCCATAGCTCTGAACCACTGTCCAGACTTCTTCCATGAACGCCACTCTGTCCAATCTACATCCCGTCCTACTTTCATGGTCTCGGTGATGTACTTCCCACTCTTCTTCGGGCAACATTTCCAAGAAAGGTACTCTGGCAGAGCATTCTATTCTTCTTCTCCTAGGTGATTCCATGAGGATTCTTTGTTCGTTATTTCTCGAATTGCCCGGAGAGCTGCTCTCCGGCAATTTCCGATTCATTTCTGTAAAGGCTGACGGAGGTTCCAGCGTCGAAGTGCCTTCATCTGCTGGCTCAGTCGCCTCCAACGTATCCGCGTTGTTCTCAAATCACTGAGGAAATTGAAATCAGGCTGGATACTCCTCCTGTCGATGCACTGTCGTCTTCCCCACCAGCTTGATTTACATCTTGTTGCATGGGTTCTTCCATTTGACGGCTTCCTACCTGCTCATCATCTCCTTCTGACGTATCCTTCTTCGAGCTTGAGGGTCCTTGCTTTTCAGTGTCGGCCCCTTCCAGAAATTTCGGTATGATCAGTGTGCCGGCCGATCCATCCTCCTCTTCTCCATGGACCACTTTGATTTCCTCACAGCCGAAGGGTGCTAGGAAGGTTCTCCTCTGCAGCGTTCCTCCTACTGTCAACTCCGGTTTCACACTAGTCAGGATCAAGGAGGCCTCAGACAGTTTCGTTGCCTCTCATCTTCATAGGCGCTAGGCCTAATTCCGCCCATTCCTCCAGGCTTGGGAGTCGCGGCGTTGCTTATTCGCCTTCTCGTCGCTTGATCCGTGTAGGGAAATCGTGTATACTGTAACACGGCAATATTCCTTCCCACAAAGTATTGATCCATTCTTACCACGAATTTTCCTACTCTCCTTTCATTGGTTTCAAATGCTCTCAACCTTGGAGTTTGTACCACGGAGACTGCTCCGAGCAATATCCTTCTTATCAAAGGGAATTCAGGGATCTTTTCCGGCAGCTTCTCGTAATCACCCCAGTTTTTCGTCTCTTCTCTCACCTTGTGATATGCTGTAGTGAGACGAGGAACTCTGGTTATTTCACCATTCGTCTTATCATAGGGTCTCAGATTCCAGAGCTTCGGAAACACCTCGATGTGCCCTCTCTCTACTTCTCCCATACGATCACGGAAGTGATCATCAAAGTTGATGACTGTCATTTCTGGCTCTGATATCTTCGCAAATAACAGATCATCGCTCATGAGCTCCCGCAATGCGTGCTGCTCACACCAGTTCAGCGCACTACCGTCCACTGCTGATATGAGGTTCAGGTGCAGCACCGACCTCCTATACGCCTCCACTTTAACATCAGGGAACGCAAACGTGACTGCTGGTCCATAGATCACTGTCACAAACTCCGTGGCTCCTCTGATCAACGCTAAGGGATCAGTCCTCATAGCCAAGCTCAGATCGGTTAGTAGGGGCATGCCCCCAACATGTCGTCTCGCATCTTCTTCCCTTTCGATAGTCCCATCTTCTCCCGTTTCAAAGCGATTTTGTTGTAAGAGATACTGGATAACAGTGTGTCTCAGGACTCTTATCTTATTCCACGGGTCCGTGGCTCTCTTCATGTCTAATTTCCTCACCTTCTCTCTCATCTGCTCTGGACAACGTGTCAGCTTCATTAGTCCTCCCAAGTTTCCGTGGGTAATCGCAATCAATGTTAGAAGCCCATCTAAACGCAGGTTCTGAACTCCTTCGGTGAGCAGTACCGCCGGTCCTTTCACGAAACTCTCTGCTCCAAACGTCACGAACACGGCTAGTAGTTCCACAATCGATACTTCCACTACGGCTTGGAGGAATTCCTTTATCAAGTTATGAGAGAGCTTCGGGTAGACTTTCGCCAAGAAGGACGCGGTCCATCCGGCTCCCAACCTAGTTGAATTTTCTGAATTAGTTGGTGTTGGTGACTGGGGTATATCAAAATGAACTCCAGGGGTTTGAAAATTTCTATTTCTTCGTGGACGTATAATATGTCTGTTTATTTCAACTGTATTTTGATTTTGACTAGTGTGTCTTATTCTGTTTAAGTCTTGTGGTAATGTGGGGTACAAATTATATGTTGGTTCACTTAGGGGTGCTTGTCGCTGAACTGGTTCTAATGGTTCGGATAAGCGAGCGTGTCGTTCTAAAAAAGTGTATGGGTTATTTTGAAAAGAAATTTGTGTGGATGTTTGGGGGTTTTGGCTAGTTGTGGGTTTTCTTGGGATGATGTCGGTGAAGACTGATTTTGTGATTGTTGGTTAGCAATTTTTGAAACGTGTCCGATTGATTTTTTCTAGTGGGAAGATTTATGTTTATTGTGATTTTGTGATTGTTGGTTAGCAATTTTTTAAACGTGTCCGATTGATTTTTTCTAGTGGGAAGATTTATGTTTATTGTAGTATTCTTCGATGAAAAGAATTAAAAAGATTGTTGCCAAGGCGAATGTGACTACTGTCGTTTTTACACATTTGCACATTGTCATTATTAGGGATGATAAAAATGTGATTAAAATTACAAATAGTAAAAAAAATATCTTTTCTAAAAATTGTTCGTATCATTTAAATTGAAATTGAATTATCGTACCTGTGAATATGATCAATGATTTGGGAAAGTTGGAGATATATTTCTAATAGGGAGTAGAAAACTTAAAAAATTTTGCAAAAAGTTATTAAAAGGATTATAAAAGCTTCAAAAGTATCGATTAAAAATATGAACAAAAGTTTGAATAGTATGAAAAACTTTATGAAAAGATTAAAGATTGTATTTTTCAAGATATTTACTGATTGAGAAAAGAACATTTAAGAAATGATTTCTTCGTCGAATATTTTTTGTTGTTTGAGGCGAAATTCAAGTGTGGTCGGATTATTCATTGGTTTTTTGACAAGTGGGTTGAGTTTTGTGAAAAATTGTTGGAGGCTAATTTTATGGTGTTCGGGAGGTCTTCTTTGCTTTATTTTTATTTGTCGGGTGATCTGGGGTATGTTTGAAATATTTGTACTTTAGGCCAAATGATTATGGTCATTTTTTACTTTAGGCTAATTCGCCATTTTTGGTTGGAGGGTTTTTGAGGTCTGAGTTGGGAAAATATTGTTGATCTTTGCGTTATTAAATAGGGGAGGGTTGTAATATTATGGTGGTATTTATTTTAGTTGTCAAGTTTTAGCGAGTTGCTTATTTTTGACCTGGAGGTTGTAAAGTTATAGTTATAGATATGCCTGGAGTTTAATATCTATCGGCTAATAGGTTGGTGTTAGTGATGTATTTGTATTTCTTGGATACATCTCGTTAGATGAGTTAGGATTGATGTGGTTACCTCATAGAGTAATTTCGGAGAGGGTACACCGTCTGCTCGTCACGCTATCTTATATTCGGCCGGATAGATTCGTGCAACTTCTTAGTCTAATACCGATCCTAATCTTACTCTTATATCTACTAGTCTCAGGGTGTTTAACTAGTCTCTACTAGGCTCAATAGATCTAGAGTATACTGGATTATTGCAACTGCTGAAGTTCTCTTGGAGAGGTAACTAATTTCTAAGTTAAATTCAAATCTCTCTGATGCTGAAATTACAAGTAATTTCAGCAATTACAAATAAGTGGGTTGTTAGTTGGATGGATTATGATTGGTTAATATTAAATATTTTACAGTGGTAAAATATCTAATTTACCCAATAATAAAATGTAGTTTAGATCAGGTTCCAAATGGTTCAGATATAAGTGATATTCAACGCGTTCAATCAACGGTTTTTCAACTTCAATAGGATTACAGCTGGCCGACAAATTTCTTTTGACTGAACCAAAAATCATATCACAACTGCTTCACAATCAATGCATCTCTTTTCCTGCATTTGTTCTGTTGTGCTGAAGGTCATACATTGACTCAAACCAAAGCAATAATCTCTAATGACGAAATCAGCAAGAGTTTTTTGAATAAAACTTCATTTAATATTGCGCCCCATCTGGATTTTTTAGTTTATTTTTTTATTTTTTTTTGAACCATTTTTCCATTTGAAATTAAATGGCGACAATATTGACACTTTTTACGTCAGATAGTATTTAGATGTTAAGAATTAACGCCCAATTTTACGGCTGATTAACAGCAGCAAGGTTTTGAAAAATAATATATAAGTAATATAATAATTCAATCGGCCTTACTGCAATCAGTTCAGATTTCGACAAAAATATGCATTCATTGACGCCTTCGTGGAACTAACATAAAAAATTCAGACAAATAATTATTCTGTTGTTTATTTATAGACTTGGTTAAAAAAAACAAAAAAGTTTTTGGGACAAATTTTCAAAATTACTTGGAAAATTTTTTGTGTCGTATATGAAAATTGTATGGCAAGCATTTTTTTCAAAAAAAAATTAAAATCAGTTTTTTATTGTCACCAGTCTGTTCAACTGTTCTCAAAAAGCCGCAGAAATGGTTTAATTTTTTTTCAATTTTTTTTTTTGTAATGAAAAATTGAAAAAAAATGTAGAAAAAATAGAAAATGTATGAAATTGTATGACAAGCATTTTCTCCATACACTTGATGTATGGAATTGTACGATAATGATTTTTGTTGTATGGAGGTCAACCCGGGATAATAGAATTTTATTGGTTCCTGAACTGTTCATTTATGATTTGCTCAAGTTTTACCTCGGATTCGTCAACATTTTGCTATCAAATCAATTGTTGAATGAGTTTTTTATAGTGTATTTTCACTTTACTAGCCAGGTCTCAGCATCTTGAGTGAAAATGGGTCTAGAAGGAGTGCAATCATAGGTGAAACAGCATAATGAAAGTTTATGTTGTCTGAGTTTAAATAGCGAGTCAACTGAGGGTGGCGGATTTTTATAAAGAATTAGTTGGTGTTTTTTCTGCTGCCATTCAAAGAGATTCACCCACGTTTTATTGCACTAATCATGCATTGGCAATATCATTAAAAAGCCCTTTCTTTCACTTCGATGGGTGGTGTCATCCATGTATAACCATTACCAATAAGTTGTAATGATACTATGTTGTTTGACATAAAAATTTCACCTTGTTGAAACTTTTTTTGCGGACTTTTTACAATCCGATTTGACAAAAAAAAACAAATAGTTTCTATCGGCGAAGTTATCCAAGCCCCCAGCAATTCCATTACTGTTCTGCTCATTATGCATACTAGAAATATTACCACTCCGCTTTTTATCTTCAGACGTCACCGCTAATTTTGAAGGCACTTGCATGTTGTATAACAATCACTGCATTTAGTTAAAATGACCCCCAGTTGATACTCTGCTATTTCAGATTTTATTCACAACCTTGAAATGTGTTACTTCCAAAATTTAAAATCGAGTAGATATAGTCTTTCATACAAAATCAAGAAAAATTTATTTAATTTAAACTTTACAGGAAAATGTGAATCTTTTTTTTTTGCTGAGAATTTTTGCAGGGCAGTGTTTTTGGAAATAAAAAGAATTTTGAGGCCGTATTTTTGGAATGACTGCGATGATTCAATTTGAAATTCCGTTGACAATGGCAATTTGGATAATTGGATTCCTTGTTTATTCCAAAGAATGATTTGCGTTGTTTGTGTCTGTGGTTTTTTCAATAAAAAAGTATCGCGTGAACTTCACCAATTATTGATTTGAAACGCTAGATTTGCTTTGAGAAGATGATTTTCCCCGTTTTTTGTGTCTGTCTGCCGATATATTCCAATCCATTAACGTTTCGCCCCCTTTATCTTTTGCTTTGAGCTGGCTGCTATTTTTTTTCGGATGAATAGCGAAAAGGAAGTCTGCATTTTATCATTATCTGAAGAGTAAGCGGAAAACGAAGATTATTCATCAGAAGTTTTTTTGAAGTTATTTCTGCCAGACAACTTAAAACACCGTCGATTCATCGGATCGCACGAAAAAACTGTTTGAAGCCACTAAATTTTTGTCTACAAAATTTAAAGGAACAGTTAAAACTAAGACCTCGGGTATTGTTTTTGTTTGGTTTTTGCATTCACGATGAAGTCAAAAAACTTAAGCTTTTTGCAATACATCTTCGTTGGCTCGTTTATTTTGTTCAAGTTTTGTGATTGTCTACATAAATCAGAAGAATATGGTCCGACAAATGGAGTTGAGGGAGAGCAACGTTTGATGAAGAAATTGAAGAGTAGCATACCTACCATGTGGCCGCCTGTGGATATGGTCAACAGAACGGTATTCATCTATGTTGATCTATTCAAGATACAAGAAGTGGACGAAAAGGTGAGGATCTCTTTCATCAATTCAAATTGTGTATCGATTTTGTTTGACACTTGTAAAAAGCCTGAAACTCAAAAAAAATGATCCAGTCAGCTGACAAAGATTGAGACCGTCTCAAATTAACTCATATTAATTCTGATACTCTTTTTGTAACACTGTTATCAGAAATTTAGAGCATGTTTGCGATCTTGATTAGGTACAAGGAGAATACCTGTTTTGTTGATAGAATGGCATGTGGGTCGGCAAATTCTTCATCTATGTCTACTACTATTCGCCCAGTGCCCAATGGAACAAGAGTGAATACAACAATGGCACCGTCGAGTCATTCCTCCTTCCCAAAGGCACACTTTGGATGCCCGATATTAGTAAGTCAGGCCACTTTTGACCTTTATTGAATTACAACGAGAACGATTGAAACTCATGCGCAGAATCGAAACTACAACTTACCACTAATCATCAGTACCACTTGTCATCGATTATAATCGATTATAAAGAATTATTTTTTTTTGGCAATATAGCTCTGACATTTTAACCACATTTTTAATAAATTGTATATAGAAATTGTAATTCTCATAGTATATGAACTATAAAAAAGTAATAAAAAAAACTTTAATAAAATTTTACTGCTGCTTTTGCAAAAGACTTGTTTCTTTTTTTTAGTGTGAGATTTAACTTGGCCAGAAAAAATTTATTTTTTTATACTTCACTTCCTAATGTTTTTTGTATGTTTTTTATACATTTTTTTCAGTTTCATAATTTTTTCCGCCCTGCATTTATTTTCTTCAATTTACGTCCCTCCCCGTTTTCAACTTATATCACCCATATTTCACTTTTCGATCTAAAAAAAAAATTTCCTCAAAACATTATAAAAGCGCATATATTCGACTACCAGGCCTTCTTCTATCATTTTTAGCTGATTGTGTAAGGCCAGGCCTGGGAATAGCCACTTTGGTAAGTTCTATAACTTTATTAAATAATGGTGGCTGAGTTTTTCCAGTTTTTCCGAAATAAATTTTTTTGTTTCCCAATTTTTCTGTTTTTCGATTTCTATTTTTCAGTCACTACTATTTGCTAGCTTGCAATTCTGTGCTTGCGTTGTATCCCAAAGGACGCAAGGATCCGCATTGCCGCTGTAATTTAATTTTGAGCTTCGAGCTTAAACATTTTTCAGAGTGTAGAAAATGTGTGTCAAAAAATGGCTTAAAAAAGACTGGAGAAAAAATCATTCCCGAGGACAAATATTCCATTGTTTTTTCTAAAATTTGGAACTACGAGATTTTTGAGTTATACTTTGAGAAAATTTTAGTCGAAAAAAGGAATGCAAAGATCACAAGCTGCAGCGTCTAAAAATGGTGAGAGCAGACGCTAATTTTATTTTTTTCTGACCCTTTTTTGGAACAAATTTGTCACAAGTTTGTTCATATGAAAAAAATAGGCTGGTATTTTTTGTTTTTGTTTGTTCGGTAGACCGCAGAAAGTGTTTAAAGAGAAAAGAGCAGTTAAGTTGCTTATGAAGCCAAATTTTTTTTCATACAAGATGATAATTCTCGTTGAAATACATTAGAAATAGGTACAGGGGACTTTGCCGAGGTACAAATGCGCTAGCTTCAATGACTTTTTGATTGAGGCGTGTAATACTGCGTTTTTTCAACTATTTCGTTTTATCACTTTTTGTTCCGACCATTGAAAATGGGGAGGAGCTTTGATTTCTCATAGATTTTTGTTTTTTTGTTTTCCACGCAAAAGCAGCTACCACAAATTGTCATCAGACATTTCAAAGCCCTTTCAGACGTGATTCATAGGACATCAAAAAAATTTTAAAAAGCTTTCCCGGTGTCGAGAAAAACCGTTTTGAAATTTTGATTTTTGTCCAATCTCGAGCAAGTGAGCAGGCTTACATTAGCTCATTAATGCTTAATTTAAGCCTTGCAATTCTATTTTTGCTCTAATGAAGTTAGTTTTTGGAGTTTTTACCTTCATCTTAGGAATCAAAAACTTCAATTTTTTTGTTTTCGTTTTGAAAAAAAATTTCCGCTCTACTTTTTCGCTCAGATTTTTTTTCACTTCAAGCCGAAAAAACGACTCTAATTGAAAAAATAATTTTGATGTAATTTTTTAAGACTGGTCGGAACACTCTGTGCTACTTGCACAGTAACCGGTTATCCTTGTATCTATTTTGTTTTAGTTGTACATGAGGCATCGGAAAGAAAGTATGACGCGTTTAACAGACAGGTGGTGTTTGAACATGGAATGATTTTGGCAATGACGACTCTAACAACTTGTCAAATGAGTTGCCTCTTCGATGTGTCCCAGTTTCCCTTCGATTCGCAGCAATGTGTAGTAACTTTGACAACTCATGTGTCGCGACCATCCGACTACCAGCTAGGTGCACCCTTAGTCATACGTTTTTGTTATTTCATTCATCACATTAGGCAGAAAAAACGCCAGCGCTTTGGAAAACTATACGAAAAACTTTCAACTGTGTTTTGTGTGCTCGGATTTTTCTGTGCTCTTTGCTCCACATCTGGCTACTCTTGCTGTATTATTGAGCGATAACAATGGGATGTTTTTGATTCGGTTTGAGGCATTTTTTTTTGTTTTTTGGCTTTCCAGCCTTATGAAGCCGTGAAAATTACCCAAATTTTTCAAAAATTTTGGCAAAAAAACTTCAAAAAATAGCCGATTTTGATCGATACGGTTGATGCATATTGGGGTCAAACCCTACCAAATTTTGGTCGAGAACATTCAAAGATAAAGTGAGCATCCGAATCGGGTTTGGCGGCAAACATAAAGTGAGCTATGTTTTTTTATTAAGTGGTCTTTATTTCTGAGAATCGTTCTTCATAAAAATTTGAGCTTTTTTCATGGAGTTGCATGAATGAATATATTTATGAATACATGAACGGGGGGGGGGGGGAGGGTTTCATCGACCTTCTCAAAAAAACTCATTCAATCTTCTTGCAACACAAAAAATTTACCAAATAAGTACTTTTTATAGACAACAAACACACTTAAAAGATAAGCATAGAAAGGAAAAAAACTGGAACCGAGTCTGGCGTGCTGGTTGCGTTTCTGTAATTGCAGGTAAGAACGAAGCAGGGGATCATTGGGCTCAAAATGGTTTTATGGGGTTTCTGTTGTTGCCATGACTTTGTGACGACAACTACTCGCAGTTAGGAGGAAGAGGCTTGGTGCAATCAACCTTTTTCATGAAAGAATATAGGTAAAAATCAACCAGAGGTTTTCTGATCTTAGATTAAATTGGCATCAATAATTTGCAGGCCTGGAAGATAGATTCTTTCCTCCCAATAGCTTTGGGAAGTCACACCTGCCTCTAAAGTTTTTCACTGCTAGCGACCAATGGCGACTCAAAACACCCGTTCAAATTCAATTGGACGAGTTGCCACCTACACAAAACGAGACTCGGGGTCGTCCAATGATTCGTGTAACCATTGATCTGCAACGTCGTCCTTTATTCTACAAACTGGTGTTTGTGTACCCGTCTGTCATTTTGTACCTCCTATCTTCCGTCACTTTTTTCATCCCCCCAGATTCGGGGGAGAAAGTTTCGTTTGCAGTGACTATCTTGTTAACGGAAGTAGTGTCGTGTGGGACACTGGTGGATGTCTTGCCCGCCAGCTCACATCACGTGCCCTTTCTGATTTTTTTCATGGCTGCAGTCACACTCCACCTCACTTGCACATGTGTCATGGCCGTCTCAGGTACATCTTTTCAAACCAATCATTTATCATGTGCCCTTTCTCATTTATTTCATGGCTGCAGTCACACTCCACCTCACTTGCACATGTGTCATGGCCGTCTCAGGTACATCTTTTCAAACCAATCATTTATCATGTGCCCTTTCTGATTTTTTTCATGGCTGCAGTCACACTCCACCTCACTTGCACATGTGTCATGGCCGTCTCAGGTACATCTTTTCAAACCAATCATTTATCATGTGCCCTTTCTCATTTATTTCATGGCTGCAGTCACACTCCACCTCACTTGCACATGTGTCATGGCCGTCTCAGGTACATCTTTTCAAACCAATCATTTATCATGTGCCCTTTCTGATTTATTTCATGGCTGCAGTCACACTCCACCTCACTTGCACTTGTGTCATGGCCGTCTCAGGTACATCTTTTCAAACCAATCATTTATCATGTGCCCTTTCTCATTTATTTCATGGCTGCAGTCACACTCCACCTCACTTGCACATGTGTCATGGCCGTCTCAGGTACATCTTTTCAAACCAATCATTTATCATGTGCCCTTTCTGATTTATTTCATGGCTGCAGTCACACTCCACCTCACTTGCACTTGTGTCATGGCCGTCTCAGGTACATCTTTTCAAACCAATCATTTATCATGTGCCCTTTCTCATTTATTTCATGGCTGCAGTCACACTCCACCTCACTTGCACATGTGTCATGGCCGTCTCAGGTACATCTTTTCAAACCAATCATTTATCATGTGCCCTTTCTCATTTATTTCATGGCTGCAGTCACACTCCACCTCACTTGCACATGTGTCATGGCCGTCTCAGGTACATCTTTTCAAACCAATCATTTATCATGTGCCCTTTCTGATTTATTTCATGGCTGCAGTCACACTCCACCTCACTTGCACATGTGTCATGGCCGTCTCAGGTACATCTTTTCAAACCAATCATTTATCATGTGCCCTTTCTGATTTATTTCATGGCTGCAGTCACACTCCACCTCACTTGCACATGTGTCATGGCCGTCTCAGGTACATCTTTTCAAACCAATCATTTATCATGTGCCCTTTCTCATTTATTTCATGGCTGCAGTCACACTCCACCTCACTTGCACTTGTGTCATGGCCGTCTCAGGTACATCTTTTCAAACCAATCATTTATCATGTGCCCTTTCTCATTTATTTCATGGCTGCAGTCACACTCCACCTCACTTGCACTTGTGTCATGGCCGTCTCAGGTACATCTTTTCAAACCAATCATTTATCATGTGCCCTTTCTGATTTATTTCATGGCTGCAGTCACACTCCACCTCACTTGCACTTGTGTCATGGCCGTCTCAGGTACATCTTTTCAAACCAATCATTTATCATGTGCCCTTTCTCATTTATTTCATGGCTGCAGTCACACTCCACCTCACTTGCACTTGTGTCATGGCCGTCTCAGGTACATCTTTTCAAACCAATCATTTATCATGTGCCCTTTCTGATTTATTTCATGGCTGCAGTCACACTCCACCTCACTTGCACATGTGTCATGGCCGTCTCAGGTACATCTTTTCAAACCAATCATTTATCATGTGCCCTTTCTCATTTATTTCATGGCTGCAGTCACACTCCACCTCACTTGCACATGTGTCATGGCCGTCTCAGGTACATCTTTTCAAACCAATCATTTATCATGTGCCCTTTCTCATTTATTTCATGGCTGCAGTCACACTCCACCTCACTTGCACATGTGTCATGGCCGTCTCAGGTACATCTTTTCAAACCAATCATTTATCATGTGCCCTTTCTCATTTATTTCATGGCTGCAGTCACACTCCACCTCACTTGCACATGTGTCATGGCCGTCTCAGGTACATCTTTTCAAACCAATCATTTATCATGTGCCCTTTCTGATTTATTTCATGGCTGCAGTCACACTCCACCTCACTTGCACATGTGTCATGGCCGTCTCAGGTACATCTTTTCAAACCAATCATTTATCATGTGCCCTTTCTGATTTATTTCATGGCTGCAGTCACACTCCACCTCACTTGCACATGTGTCATGGCCGTCTCAGGTACATCTTTTCAAACCAATCATTTATCATGTGCCCTTTCTCATTTATTTCATGGCTGCAGTCACACTCCACCTCACTTGCACTTGTGTCATGGCCGTCTCAGGTACATCTTTTCAAACCAATCATTTATCATGTGCCCTTTCTCATTTATTTCATGGCTGCAGTCACACTCCACCTCACTTGCACTTGTGTCATGGCCGTCTCAGGTACATCTTTTCAAACCAATCATTTATCATGTGCCCTTTCTCATTTATTTCATGGCTGCAGTCACACTCCACCTCACTTGCACTTGTGTCATGGCCGTCTCAGGTACATCTTTTCAAACCAATCATTTATCATGTGCCCTTTCTCATTTATTTCATGGCTGCAGTCACACTCCACCTCACTTGCACTTGTGTCATGGCCGTCTCAGGTACATCTTTTCAAACCAATCATTTATCATGTGCCCTTTCTGATTTATTTCATGGCTGCAGTCACACTCCACCTCACTTGCACATGTGTCATGGCCGTCTCAGGTACATCTTTTCAAACCAATCATTTATCATGTGCCCTTTCTCATTTATTTCATGGCTGCAGTCACACTCCACCTCACTTGCACATGTGTCATGGCCGTCTCAGGTACATCTTTTCAAACCAATCATTTATCATGTGCCCTTTCTCATTTATTTCATGGCTGCAGTCACACTCCACCTCACTTGCACATGTGTCATGGCCGTCTCAGGTACATCTTTTCAAACCAATCATTTATCATGTGCCCTTTCTCATTTATTTCATGGCTGCAGTCACACTCCACCTCACTTGCACATGTGTCATAGCCGTCTCAGGTACATCTTTTTAACCCAATCATTTACCTCTACACAAATACATTTTTCAAAACTTCATTTGTATTTTCATATTATAAAAACTTTATTTGTATTTAAGTTTTTGACTTGAAGTAAGTTGCAGAAGTTTGGTGGAGTATCTTAACTTGATCCAAAACTTTTTTTTTTAAGTTTTCATGGGGTGACAGACGTATAAAAGTGAGGTTAAATAGCTATAAATTGAGAGGTTAATAAGCAGTAAATAAGTATTATATTAAACAATGAGAATTAAAGTTACAAGAAAATGTAACGTTGAGCAAAATAGTTTATAAATACATTAATTAAAAAATGTTCACAAAAACATTGTCGTTAACAAATTTTTTAGCACGGGCACAGAAGAGTAATTCAATATCATTGGAAAAAACTTACAAAGTAAAATTAGGCAGATTTCTACTTGCAGTCTGCGGAAAAATAAAGCAGAAAAGTTTCCGTTCTATTTATATTTCGGTCAGTCTTTGGTCCAGGTTGAGTTCGGCTGGGTAACTTTTCACCTGGCAGTTGGTGTTGGTTAAAGCCATTACATTTTGTTGCAGCACTGCTCTCTGTTTCTGATTATCATTAGGAATTCGACTCAGGAATTGGACCCACTGCCGACCCAGAGGGTCCCCCCTTTGTACTATTTTGAGATATCTATTTTTGGCTGACTGACCCAAAAATTTGTTTAAAGGCGCCTTAGGCGCCAATATATGTTAAATTTGAGGGGGAGCAGTCGAAAAAAAGAACGCAATTGTTGGTCAAAATTTGTCAAAAAAGTGCCCCAAAAACGGTCTTTTTGACCTAAAATTTTGGTTTTTTTCTTTCAAAGTTCACGTTCAAAATTTGGGTAATCAGAAATGATTATTTTTTTTGTTCCGACCATGTGAAAAATGTTGCGAAACTTAGTACTCGGGTGTGCATTATTTATTTTCCAAGCTTAACAGGTACCACAAGCTCGAGTGATATATCATAATAAACCCCTTTCAGTCCTGATTCGAACGATTTTTAAAAAATTTCAAAATGTTGTCCCAGTATTGGGAAAAACTGGTTTATAATTTCATCTTTTTATTCCTAATTTGAGCTGATAAAGCTAGCGAGCAGATATAATAAATTTTTTTCATTTCTTAATATTTAAAAAAAACTTAATTAGTTTAACCCGAGTGAAATTAGTTTTGAACAGTTTCTTAGCGCCTTTTTAGAACCAAAAATTTCAAAAATTAAAAAAACTGCTACAAAATTTGAAAACTTGAAAAGCGTTTTTTTTATTACTTTTGTTTTGTTTTTCTAGAAAAAATAGTGTTCAATTTGCTTACTTTGCTGTGCTTTTTGATTATGCCTAAGCTCTAGTTTTTCCTTCATATCCTTTTATGACGTCATGAAGAAAAACCGACACTAATTTGAACATGACTGCTCGTATCAGGGCAACGCAAAGCCTTGAATGTTCCGACTGTCCATAAACTGGTCTCAAGTAGTTGTTGACTTATGAAACATTGAATTTTAAGCTGAATCACGACTATAACTTTTAAGCTGAATTTTAGGAATCGTGTATGGAATTAAAAATATCGTGTATGGAATCGAAACTAATATGAAGATTAAAAAAACCTTATTTTTATTGTTTTGTGAATGTGGTATCCTTGTTAGATATTCTGATCTACCACATCAATGCGGATAAATTGAAGTGATCACTGAGATCAAAAATGTTCTTCTTTTTAGTTGTCTACATTCACCACAACTCATCCTTCATGGAAATGTACGAGTGGGTTGAGCAGCTAATATCTAGTAAACACTTAATCTGTCTCTTTCTAAAACCCTTTCAGAACAAAAAAGAATCTTCAGGAGACTCGAGAGTAGAAATTGCTGACCAGATCTACCCATCTGGGAAAGAAGATGTGGAAAATACCGAATTGAAGTGGAAATATTTGGCTAGTTTTCTGGACAGATTATGTTTTATCACACATGTTGTGTTCATGGTGGTAGTTTTGGCTGTTTTCTTTTATCAAACGACAGTTGCATAATATATTGAACAGTTTGAACAAATGATTGAAATAAGTTTTGGATGTTAGCTTTTAAACTTGGTAATCCTTATGATTGCTTCCAATTCTAAGGACAATGAAAGAGTTATTTTTGTGAACTCTACTTTGTCGACAAAAACAGCTGACCATGCATTTCCCATGCATCCCTGAACGTTTTCCATGCCTTTTAGTTCAACGGACCAAATTGATTTGCTGTGCGCTCCAAATCACTATAAAAACCCTAATTTGACAAAATTTTCTGTGCCGCAGCCACATTTTTAAAAAAAACGGCAAAAAAGGCGTTTTTTTAGGCACTTTTTTGGAAAACTTTGACCAAAAAACCATTTTTTTGCGGCGTGCGCTCCCACGCATCAAATATATTGTTTAGGAATTCAATTTAAAAAAACGGCTCAAATTTTGAGTAGTTATTGCTATAGGTTTTGAACGGTTTTTAACGGTTTCGACGGTTTGAATGTTTCTTGCAAAAATTTGAGCAATGTGTAAGCAGCTTGAGCGCATTTGTTAAAAAACCGCTCCAACCGCTCAAATCTTGAACCTTTTTAGAGCTGGATCTCGACTCGTAATATAGTAAGTCCCTGGTTCGTGTTTTATAACTACAAAATTAACATAAATTTTTTTAACTCATCCAGTTCACATCTTCAATAACCTTGCATTTTTAGAAACGCAAATTTTCCTGAAAACGAACAAAAAAATTTGGGAAACGCGCGTTTTTTTATGAAGTCCCTAACCACAGTTCCTTGCAACTAATTGGACTTGAATAAATTTATAGTTTCGCAATCAGAAATATTTGCCTTTCAAATTAATCACTAATTCCTTGTGCTCTAAATCTTCTTAATATATGGTGCTCAAATAAGCTTAAGTAACGGTTCAAAAATATTCTAGAAATAACTTATTCTAGGAAACAAAATATGAAAAGCTAGGTGTTGGATCTAAATTGAAAATCTTATTTTAGATGAAAATTTTTGACCAAAGTTTCTGGCTGGCCAAGTGTTTTTACGGATCTACTAGACTGAACTAATTGGATATATCAAACAAGCTGCCGCCCCCTCAAATTGAAAAAGCTTGGAGATTAAACAATTGGGTCTTATGCACTAAACCGCCAAAAATCAGATTTCATTTATGTTGGGTTGAAATTCATGCAATCGACACAATCAGGCATTTTAATCAAAATTCAATATTTAATTGAAAAGCGGAATTGAAAAACCAAGTTGATTGAAAGTGATTGGTTAATTGATGAACCAAATAATGAATAATAAATAACGATGAATAATAAAAGAGCTCTGATATCAGGGCGAAGTCCTGTCAGCTCTGATTGCTCTTTAACAGTTCTCGGATAGTTTTTGATCATCGAAGTTTCTGCAAACTATGAAGTTCAAATTTTAAGTGTAAGCATCTGAGTGCCATTTCGAAATAATTTGACTACCCGGGTCGAGGTCCACCACTTAAGAAAAGACCGGCGCGACTCAAATTTGGCAATTCCAGAGCGGCGCGACTTTATATTGGCAATTCCAGACCGGCGCGACCGAAACTTGGCGATTGAAGGCCGGCTTATAGACTAAAGCGGCGCGGCGCGACTTAAGAAAAGACTGACGGCGCGACTTAGGCACGCGGCGCGACTGCGAAATCCAGTCTGAAAACGGTATGCGGCGCGACTTACAAAGTCTTTTCTTAAGTCGCGGAAGTCGACCCGGTTAATTACCTTGTTCCACTTCCATTTGCATCGTTTCTGTAGTTTTATTGGAAAATGATTCTATTCTAACGAGGAAAAGTCTGCGAAAATATTTTGGGTGAGCCGGAATGGTAAAAAAATTAGTCATGATTAAGTCAAATTGTTGCAAACTTATCTAAGATCAGGGAAAAAATGATTGAACTATTTTTAGTTTTTTAATTTGTGATCGTCAGGAGTTCTATCAGATTAGGCCGGGGACTCTATGTTTTCCACAAAATTCTATGAGAAGGTCTTCTGAAGTTTGAAGACCCAATTTTTAGGATTGTATTCAAATATAGGGACCCCCTGTCTTTTAGAAGGCGGGGAAATTTTTTTCCGATTAATTCTAAGCAATTTACATTTTTTATTCTGCTATCTCAAATACAGTGCTGATTTAAATTAACCGGACAAAACGCGTTTAACTTGAAATTTGAAACGCGTTTTTCTCAAATTGGGTTGAGTTTAGGGGAAAACTTATGAAAACAAAATTTGCTTAACATTTTGACAGAATTAATATGGTGTAATTTGTTTTACGAAATTCGGGCACAAAATTTTACCCCAAAAATGGGTCATTTTGGCTTTTTTTAGTTAATCAAAAATTACGCCGAAAATACCCAGTCGATCAGAGACATCATTATACTAAAGTGAGCCCCTTACGTAGCCCAACAAACTTTAAGAAGGGTATAATCTCCAAATATTGTATAAATTATTTATTTTTGTTTGATAGACAAAAAAGGTCGTTTTTACTATATAAATACCAACTTTTTATTTAAAAACAGTTTTTGAACAATTTGCAATTTTTTTTTGGAGAAAATACCCTTCATAATGTTTATTGGGCTACGTAAGTGGCTCACTTTGATATAATTATGTCTGTGATCAGCTGGGTTTTTTCGGCGTAATTTTTGATTAACTAAGAAAAGCCAAAATGACATTATATTAATCCTGCCAAAATTTTAGTCAAGTTTTGTCTTCATAAGTTTTCACCTAAACTCAACCCTATTGAAGTTTAGTTTGCTTTGTCCGGTTAATTTAAATCAGCACTGTACCACGCTGTGTATTTTTTTTCAGCCAATCAAAATTGCGCATCGCAAAAATTGTCAGCTGATATACAAATTTGAAATGGTGGTTGTATGCTTGCTGGCCGTCTTTTTAGCGAGTTATATAAAATCAGCTTTGATGATCGGTTCTATGTTTGTCTCAATTTAAACTTCAAAATCATTTAATATCCCGCTAAAATTGAATCAGCTGGAAATTAATAGATTTTATGGAGGAAATTAAATGAAGCAAACAAACAAACTGATCCTTTTCCTACTATCGTTGCTACCACAACCCCAAAAAATTGTTTCGCATTTTCAGCTCCAAAAAAGTAGAAATTAAAATGTTCAAATATAAGTCACTTCACGTCATTTTTCTACTTAGTTTTTTCAGTAACGCCAAGCCTAATTCATTCTCGGACTTTAAGGTCAGTAATCAAACTGCCCCCCAAAATGGAGTTGAGGGAGAACAACGTTTGATGAAGAAATTGAAGAGTAGCATCCCTAGCCTGTGGCCGCCTGTGGATATGGTCAACAGAACGGTATTCATATATATTGATCTATTCAAGATACAAGAAGTGGACGAAAAGGTGATGTCTTTGTAAAATGTTTTAAAAGTGCTTTCACGCAAAACTAGACATGGGAAATCTCTCTACAAATTTGGAATAATTTATTCAACACTCCTTGAACTAATTGGAAAAATTTGACCAACTGCTGCTGATCGAACAAGATACATCTTTAAACAAAAAACACTTCTTTTTAAAAACACTCCTTTTTAAACACTCCTTTTTAAAGATAATTTCATCTTAGATTTCCAAAAGCTTCATCTGAGAGTCAAGTTTTGCTTAAAAAATTGAAAGTCAAAAAATTGCTACTAGAAGCCCTGAAAGAAGTTTATTGCAATCTCAGAACGATATTTTTTTAAACTAATTTTTGTAGTTTTTTTAATCTCCGAAAGGTTAGAAAATTGCTTTAAACCAAGAAGATCAAGTTGAAAAACTGTAAGCCCAATTCAATCTGTAAAGTTTACTTCAATCCAAAAATTTGCATATTTTCATCAATCTTTTTTTTCTATTTGTGAGAAGCGTGAAACGACTCAAAATTAAAGCTAGTATGCGGGTTGTTTTTACCTTAACAGGACGGTGTGTGGGTTGGCAAGTTCTATATTTACTTTTACTACTACAGCAACAGCGCCATGTGGAACAAAAGCGAGTACAACAACGGTACCACCACCACATTATTTGTCCCTGGAGGTACATTCTGGGTACCAGATGTTCGTAAGTATTATAGCGTTTTTAAATCTTAGTTCTTGTAATGCTACGGTTTCGTTTTCATTTCAAGTTTTTGCAAATTGCATTGTCGGCCTTGCAGCACAAAATGCATTTGATTGCTCCGGTTTCAGAGAAAATATGAGAAAAAACTCAGGTCATATTTTGGCTGCCTGCAAAAACATTTTTTGAAAAATTTCTTTCCCATGAGAAAATTAGGAAAATTGAGGTCAAAAAGTTAGGATAATTGTTCGGACTTTTGAAAAAATTGACTAAAATTTTTGCTCGGCGTGGGTTTTCTTCTCCAGACAAATTTCTACTTTTAACTATCAATTTTTGCAAAATTTTTTTGAATCAGCCAAAAGGTATTGTTTTCTTTAGCACAAATTTACAAAAACATACATTTTTTAAAGTCATGGGGGTTTAAAGGTGATCAATTTGGGTCAAATAAAAGTGGCAAATTTCGTGCTATGATGAAGACTTAATTCATCTTAGAAATCGTTTCAAATTAAATTGAGCCGGCTATTCGGTCTATTTACTAATTTGCTAAAACGAATTCATCACTTCGTACTTTGTATAGCGTGTGGGGGCTAGCTTTCAAAACAATCTCAAACTTAAAAAAAGATTTATGTTCTTTTTGAGAAAGTTTCGTCAATTTTCTTAAAGCAATCACCATTTCAGAGACCTTGAAAGGATATCAGAACATTCAAGGCTGCACCCTGATACCAAAAGTTTTGTTTAATTTCTAGGCGCAATTAAAGAACTGAAAAACAAAGGAACTGAAAAACAAGAGAACTGGAAAACAAGAACTACGGGAAAAATTTTCTGATGTAATACTCTTTAAAGTTGCTTTAGCTGATTTATCTAATGGTGATCTCCCAGGCGGGAGCTCGCCATAGTAATTAGTATCGTATATTTAGTGTCCTAAAAGCCATTTTTATTTCAAAATTTTGAGAAAAAAAGCGACAACATAGCTACGCTTGTGATGATTTTTCTTCGAACTATTTTTATTTTTTTACTGAGTTTTTTGACGGAATTTTTTTGTATACCATCCGGAAGATGTTGTCTGGAGCTGGAATATAAAAAAGTTCTTTTGGATTGATAAGTTAATAGGGTTTTGTTATTTGCTAAGCTTGCAAACTTGGGATAATTTGCTTGCTATATATTGCGTTCTTATAACACGCGTTAGTGGCGGATTAAATTGTACCATAAGCAAATCATTGGGTTTTTCATTAAGATTTAGCTAAATACTGTCTTATGTACGGAGATGAGAGTTAGAAAAAATACTTTGGCATCAAACTGCAGTCGGAATATTAAGGGCTTCGCCTTGATATACGAACAGTTTTGTAGAAATATTGCTCCTATTTTTGAAGAAATTGACTGAAAATTTATGCTTGGGCTGGTTGTTGGTTGTTTTCTTCATTCAACTAACGGGCAAAATATATCGCATTATTATAAACGCGTGTGGTCGTTTTATTTGAATAAGAGACGCAATCTTTTTGTACTTTACACAGCAACGCAGTGGATAAAACTTTTAAAAATTTCAACCAGAAATTTTTTAATTGGCCGTAAACTATAGTCGGAACATTCAGGGCTTGGCCTTGTTATAAGAAGTGTTGCACAATTTTGGAAATATTTGATTTCACTTATGATTAATTTTTTGATAAAATTTTTGTGATATCGAAGATCATTGAAACGAAATTAAGTATGATCATCTGTTCTTTTAGTTGTGAGAGAAGCATCAATGGTTAATTATGAGGCGTTTGAACGGCAAGTTGTATTCGAAACTGGAATGATCCTGGCATACACTTCTCTGCTCACCTATCAAATGTCATGCGAGTTTGACGTCTCTCAGTTTCCATATGACTCACAAACTTGTGAAATAACTGCAACAATGTTCGCTTCCAGACCCGATGACTATGAATTAGGTTTGCAAAATGAAATAAAACGCAACCTGTAGATACTTTATTTTCAGTGATATATTTGAACGAGTATTTCAGCATTCCAAAAAACTTTCTTTGTACAAGATGGCACTGGTAAAACATATCTGCCATTACAGCATTTTACACCAAATGATCAGTGGCATTTAGTAACACCAGTAGAGATCAAAAAGGAAAAGCTCACGTGGAAAGTTTCACAGTTCCGCGAATCTATCAAGGTCACCATAAATCTACAGCGGCGACCCTCTGTTCTACAAGATGGTGTTCGTCTACCCTTCAGTGCTTCTATACCTTCTCTCCTCCGTCACTTTCTTCATTCCCCCGGACTCAGGGGAGAAGGTGTCCTTTGCAGTGACTATTCTGCTAACTGAGATTGTCTCGTACGGAACTTTGCTGACTATTCTGCCGGCTAGTTCGCACCACGTTCCCTACTTGATCTACTTCATAGCTTCAGCTACTTTTCACCTCACCTGCAATTGTGTCGCAGCAGCTGCAGGTAGAAAAAATCGAGAAAACGCTTTCAAACTTTTTTTACATTTTAATGTGCTTAGAGGGAAATTTTAATAATTGTATATACTCGATATTTGAAGCCCGACTTTGGCTCACACTAGTATTTTCCCTCACCAAATATACAATGTTTAGATCCTTCTTTTATAGAAGTTATTTTGAAATCTGTAAACTTGCAAGAGCGTTCCACTGATATCTCTGAACTTCTATTTTATTCTCAGAGCGAAAGCCAAAATATTTGCAAAGGTAATGGGAGGTCTCAACTCGTATAATTTCAATTGTTTTATCTTCAATAATCTTTTCGCGGTACCACGCGCGGATCTAGGATTTTCTCTCATCAATTGTTTTTTAAATTTTGTCGACCTTTTTTTTTAGGTCGAACTAATTGATTTTCTGAGCTCTCCCAAATTTTTATAAGAACCTTATTTCGACTAAATTTTTTGCGCCGTTTTAGGTACTTTTTTGAAAATTTTGACCAAAAAATTGCGTTTTTTCGGTGGGCGCTCCCACCTCAAAATTAATTTATATTGGCACCGAAGGCGTCTTTAGAAAAGTTGTGAGACCAGTCAGCCAAAAATGGATATCTTAAAATAGTACAAAAGGGGACCCTTTGAGTCGGAAGGAGGTCGAATCCCTGAAGGAAGAGTCCGCCCAAACACCCCCCCCCCCCCATACCCCCCCCCCCCCCCTAAATCCGCTGATGCGCGGTTCCATAATACGCTCTCTATAAATATAATCTAGCTACTTCGAACGAAGTATCTAAGAACCCCTACGACAATCTATCTAAGAACTCCTACCAGCTAGCAAGAGTTCAATTTGGAAGTTAAAGAGTCCAGTTTGAAAGTAAAAAATCACGCTACTATTTGTATCACACTAAAAAAGTTTTCTTTTCGTCTCTTTTCAGTTGTCAACATTCACCACAACAGTTCGAGTCTCACAATGTACAATTGGCTGCAGGTATTGATAACCAGCAATCACGTGATCTACCTCGGTCTCAAACCAAGTCCAGTCAAAGCATCCCATTTGACCCTTCCTAAACACTCAGACGGGTCATCAGGGATGAATATGGAATCCCCTCTTCATGTGCAGTCTATGGATCAGGTCAATTCACCACCACCGTCCAAAAAACATGATAATGATACTCAAATTACACAACAATTGGCCAAAAAGAGAGCCATGAAAACGAGGAGTCATCATTGCAATGGAAACAATTGGCCACTTTTGTAGACAGAATCTTTTTCATTGTGCATGTTGTCGTCATTGCAGTCGTGTTGTTCGTATTTCGATTGTACATAGAACCATACTAGTATTTACTTTCGAATGAAAATTTTCTTACGACCCCCTAACATATGTTACAGTTACCATACCACTTCTCAAAAAATTATCGAAGTAATGTGTTAGTAACTAAAAACTCAAGGGCTGCGTGTGGTGTGTTTTTTTTTGTTTACTTAATGCACGAAAAAATGAAGCTGCTTTCTCCCGATAAACTCAGTGTTGTTCAATTCAAAGTGTAATCACCCACGTAGTTTGTTCATAATTATATCCAGTTAAGTAAAAAATACATTTAGATTCTGAAGACAGTTTTGTAACTTCTAATGTTGGGGTCTTATGATCTAATTTTGAGATTAGGACATAACAGAGTAAAATGTGTTGGCTAAGTTCAATCAAAAGAATTTATCTTAATAATTTGTTCTCAGGCAGGGGCGGATTTATGAAGGGGCGGGGCGGACGTTTCCCATTAGGAATTTGACCCCCTTTGTAGATTTAAAGATATTCATTTTAGGTGATTTTTATTCCAAGCGCCTTTGGCGCCAATATACACTAGTTTTGAGGAGGATCGCGCCCCAAAAAACGCGGTTTTTTAGTCAACATTTTTCAAAATAGCCAAACATTGCGCTGAAAAATTTTGTCGAAATATGATCTGCTAGTAGTCTGGGAGCACTCTGAAACTCAAATTAGTCGACCTTCAAAAAGTCCACAAAGTTTACAAAAAACTCCTCGAGATAATGGTCGATCCGCCCCTGTTTTCAAGGGCATTAACCTCTCAACAGATCGATCACCCCATCATCCAAAAATTCACTAGTTTTTAAGCTAATTGTCGACTCCCGTTTTGACTGATTACAATTAAAACTCTTCCCAAAGTCTTTTTACCATAAAATTCAGAAGTGGGCCGGAGCCAGAAAAAACGCATTTTTTCCATAGTTTTCCAAAACACCCCATAAACAGCCTCTAGGTACATTATTTACGTAAATTATGTAAAATAGAGTCATTTTAGTGTTTTGAGAAACTCAAATCAGAAATTACCTAGAACTACCCATGAGAGTTATACTCAAATGTTTTTTCCATGGCTGTTGATCGAATTCATATACTGACTGGGTTGACCAAAACTTCTAATCCTAAGGTTTCCAGATATGGTAAAAAAGTTCCATACAACTCGAGAAACCACCCAGAAAATTATGTGAAATCTGTATGGTAAGCAATTTTTTTTCCATACATCACAAATATCTATTAATTTTGGAACGTTGAAAAATAATGTCTGTAATTTGTCCAAAAATACGATAACCAACTAATTTCTATCATTAGAAAACTCAATGATTAAAGTGAAATAATCTCACAGATATTTAGCATTTGTAGACTATTTGTATGAGATGTTTCATGCAGGGTGCTTCATATAGATGTAATAAGTAATACATCATTTATAGCAAGGTCAGAACGTAAAACGGCTTGCTTGAGTTTCGATACGTCTAGTTTTTTGTAGTCGATTAGCCACAAAAAAATTGTGTCGTAATTTCGGTGTTCGCAGCCAATACAAAACCATTGTGCTATCAGACCAAGTTTTTTTCAATTTGTGAATCGGGCCCCTCAACAGCGAACCAGGAAAACTGCGCAGCGTAAACTACAGCTTGCACTTTGAAATTTGAAGAAGTATTGCGTGTTATTGGAGCAACATTTGCTTTTCTGATTACAAAGTTGAGAGTTTTCAAGCTGTTGTTATGAGAGATTGAAAGGTAGAAATCTGCTGCAAGAGCAAACTCTGATGCGGCTTAAATTGTGTGAAGCTGAATTGAGGATGGGTTTTCCTGATCAAGGAAATTCTATGGCAGCGAAATAGTATCAAGACTTTCGGTTTCATTGAGCTAAAATTTCAGATCCAGATGTTTGTTAACGTCTAAAAGAGTGTATCATTAAGCACTTCGAGACTAATTTGGTAGTCGACTGTTTCGAATGCGATTTGTCATGAGGGCGGTGTACTTCAATAGTTTTCATTGAGTAGCGACTCCTATATGGAGAACTTTGACAAAAAATGTTGTTGCTATCCCAGTTAACACTAAGAACTAATTAAAGTTGACTTGTAGGATCATTCAGGAGACTGCTTTGATCAATTGAACCCAGAAACGTTTTATGTGCGGGTTCCTCTGGTGCTTCATCTGTTCGAAGGCTTCGTCTACAGTAGCTAAGCTAAGGTATAAATCATCCATGTATATGTTTTGTTTTCAAACTTCGGAAGCAAGCAGAAAATCACGTTTATTGTTTGTCGCAACCTTGCGAAGCGCATGACAAACTACACAGAGTCAGCAGAACAAATGTCTGGTGTAATATTTAAACTCTTTTTGGCTGTTTTTTTTCCAAAGGTCTCAAAGATAGGGCTTGTCCTCAGAGCTTACCAAAATTTGCATAAGTTTTTTGTCTTTGTCTGCAGCTATACCTTCTTTTTTTCTGTCGGTAGCAAAGAGCAGGGCCAGTCAATATGCATAAAAGATCTAGACTTTTGATAAAGTGCGCGTTTGGTGACTTTCCTTGAAAACTGCTGGAAGAATTTGAGACGCTTCTGACTTTTTTGACCCTGCTCAGTGGATGATGCGGTAAAAACCATGATTTCATTGCTGTATAGTTATGAATACATATTTTTTATTCAATAGCATTTTTCTAAAACTGTCATGGCTGAGGCGCGATAGTTTTTTCTTAGGCTGGTTGTTAAGCCGAATTTCTAAATTGTTGAGCTGTTCATCAGCTAGCCAGCGGTTGTTTATGATGTTCTGCGTTTTCTTGTAAACCAACTTCATAGTGACCGTTCAGCAAATTGCAAGAGTTTTCAAAAGTTTCGATGGCAGGCTGGTCTGATTTCGAATGAGAGCGTTTTGATGACGCAATTCCAGTTTTTATTTTGCATCCAATCGAGAAACTTTGATAAAAATATTTATCCATTGACTGTGCAAATGAACTGGAATGAATTTCACAAGAATAGTTGGCACTAAATTGAATTCAGTCTTATTGTGACCACAACAGGTTTTTCCTCATAATTCTATTGCAGCTGCCAAAATTTTCTCGCAGAAATTGAAGAGCAAATTCAGATGTTCCTCCATTTACACCTTAACCAACTATCATGGCATTGCCAGTTACTAGAGATTACAGACGAATTTTTTTTAGTAGCGTTATTTTTGGCTGATGAAATGCAGATTTAAAAAAACAATACTAGTGCAATAGGTCGTTTGGATTTCCGTTGAAAAGTGTAATTCTGAGTTTTGGAAGTGAAGGTTAAAAGTAGAAAAACTATCAGAGTTGATAGCTTGTAGGCTTTTACAGTTCCTTTAGTGAGAGTTCGTTGTAGCCGGAAAAAATTGCCGGATTCGAGAAAACACTTGAAGTTGCGGTTTAAAAAAAAGACCTCGAAGTTACTTTTAGCGGGAGATGCTTTTTGTTCATTGTGTTGAACTTTTTGTGTTGAACATTGTGTTGGCAAGATGGTTTCGACACTGATACAGTGTTTGAGGTGTCCATGGATGCAGCATATGCATTTAAAGTTGAAACTTGAGGTGCTATATTTGTAGTCCCTAAATGTTGAGAGCTGCTATTGAGAAAAATTTAACAACAGTTTGAGATGATTTTAGTTATTTCCTCAAAAAAGTTCTTTTTCCCAAGAGAATATTTGAATTTTTTGTTTCAGTTTCACCGTCCAACAAGACTAGAAGAGTGATTTTAAAAGTCTTGAGCGAATCTTATCTGAAGCTTTTTTTGTTCAGTTTACCATGATGCTGTTGAGACTGCAACAATATATTGCTGTTAAAACTGAATTGAGAATCAAACTGAAGTGACCAACACCTACCAACCTATACTTAATGAATCAATTCGAGTTACAGGGAAAACTTTGATATGTACCTGTACCAACCAACCTATTGAATTTATATCAAAGCTCGCTTAATGGAGCCGGAGATTTTCACCGGAAGTGTTCGAAAAAGAACAGTATCCTATCCCTAATTGTTTTTCATCGAAAACAATTTTTAGGTGAAATAAAAGATAGTTGTAGAGATTTTCTGTATGTTCTCGATAGATTGGAATCATCAAAATGACCAGTTAAGTACAAAATCTATATGCACCAACAAATTTTTGATGTTGGTCAGAATTTTCGGATCAGCTTGATAAAGCTAGGGAGAAGGCTTTGAACTCAGAAAGGTTCGAGGCAACCGATGAGTAGACGAAGCTCGAGAAAAACGAAGAACCCATAGAGGGTTGAATCAAAGCGATAGGCTATGACAAAGCTCCGAAACACCAAGAACCTCGGGGAGGCTCGAAGTAAAAGATGAGGTAGATGAAGCTCAGGAAAAACTGAGAACCCAGAGGGGTTAGAAGGAAAGCGATGAGTTAGTCAAAGCTCGAAACATCAAGAACCCATAGAGGCCCAAAGCAAAGCTATGTTTTAGAGAAACTGAAGAAACGCCAAGAGTCAGAGAAGCTCAAAGCAAAAATGAGCTAGATGAAATTCAAGAAAAACTGAGGAGCCAGAGAGACTAGAAGGAGAACGATGAGTTAGATAAAGCTCGGAAAATGCCAAGAAACCAGGAAGGCTCGATACAGAAGATGAGCTAGATAAGTTTCAAGAAACGCCCAGAACCCAAAAATAATCGAAACAAATGATGAGCCAGACAAATGTCGATACAAAAAATCAGATAGTACTCGAACGAAACGAAGAAAACTGTCAAAAGTGACTTGATGGAAGGTAAAAACTAATCCAGAAAGATTGGAGCAAAGAGTCAAGAAAGACTCAAAGCATTGAAACAGAGAGTCAAGAAAGACTCGATGGAAAGAACGAAAGAGCCAATAAGGCCTCAAAGGAAATAATCAAAGAGTCAAAAAGACTCGAGCGAAGGAATGGAATGAAGACAAAAGACATTTCCAAAAGTTGTAACAGATCAACAGTGAAGGGGGGAACAAACGGCTAGTTGAATAACTGATCGAGGGGGGTAAAAACGCAGGTTTTGGAAGCCGCGTTAGTAAAATTCAGTTAAATTATTTCAATCAAAATTTTGCCATCGAATTTTTTAGTACAGAAGCTCCTTTTGATTTGTTTTAACAGCAAATGGGTTTGCGGAATAAACCATTGCGACCAAAAACTGACGCAATTTACTTCTTGAACTGTGTAAACAGTTTGCAGTTTGCGGTGTAGGGGTGTACAAAAATGCACAATTCAGCGCGGTTTTTGTTTTTTTTTCTTTACAAAAATCAGAGAACAAAATTTTTTCAGAAGTGTAAACAGTAGTCAATGTAAGCGTTCCTTCAATAGGCCGAAAAGTAAATTATCTTTTAGGTCAACAATACATTCTTTGATCTTTTTTTATATGGGAATTAGAACTGTTAGATCACTAGTAGCTCTAATTACGAGATTAAAGATGTATATGAGGGTAAAATGTAGTAGTTCTAACTTATTTAACTGGAATTGACAAGAAACTTTGAGCAGCGGCGCGACTTAAGGAAAAACTTTGAGTCGCGACGTGTTTAAAGAAAGACTTTGAAAGGCAGCAGGACTTATGAAAAGACTTTGAGGCGCGTGCAACTTACTGAAAGACTTGAGCCGAGCAGAAATCAAGAAAAAGCGTTAACATTGCGATTTTAGAAAAGACTTTGGCGGCCCAATGTATATCCGTAAATCAAGAATTTGAAAATGAATGCTTAAGAATAGCCATTGGAGCGACTTAAAAAAAACTATGGGTCGAGGCGGTTTTTTTTGGTCGCATTGGTTGCTCGATAAACAATTGCAAGAATTTTTTGACTGCCCCGGTGTCTTAATCTGTTAAGATTCTATCGTGCCGATCTGAAATTGCCAATAGTCAGTTATGCCGGTCTGAATTTACAAATTTGCTTCGCGCCAGTGGCGTTATCTTGAAAAGCGGACCTTAGGCTGCTCCTTCACAATCTGAGATATTTATGATGCATTGGCTAATCAATTAAGTTTAATCTAGATGCTTCCGGCTCAAGTTAATTGAAGAAATTCTTTTGTTTATTCTGCTTTAAGATTTGACAGTTTGAAAACATCTCATTAGAAACGATGATCGCTCTAGATGAGCGAAATCCGGAGACAAAGAGGGTCTAAGAATTTATCTCCTTCGACATCCTCCAGCATTCTTTCATCATAAATAACATTTTTGGAGAAATATTTACCTACAAGGGTAAGTATTTGTCCTTATTAGATGGCTTATAGGCTTATTAGATGGCTTATATTTGTCCTTATTATATTGGTTTTCGTTGCCGGTCAGATGCATGCAGCTCAATAGATTTATTTTTTAAAATCCCCATCTATTTAGTATTCAACATTATCACATATTTGTTACCTTTTTTCACCATTATATTCACCTTAAGAAATTATAAAAAGTTCATATTGCAAATTTTCTATCATTGTACTGCAAAAATATTTGCGAACGAAAATATTTGAATTACCATGATAATATTACATATTAGAAAAAAATGATTATTTTTTGAGGGAAAAAAGTTCACATTTTTACCTAATTTTCGGTTCATCTATAATTTTTCATTCTTTTATCTAATGTACATGACTCTCCTGCTTTTCACTCTTTACTACTTATTAATCTATCTAACGAGTGGTCTCTGGATTCAAATGGTAGATGGCGACGAAATAGTCCCAACTAACGGCGTTGATGGGGAACAGAGGCTGCTGTCAAAACTCAGAAGCAGCATCCCATCCATGTGGCCGCCCGTAGATATGGTCAACAGAACTGTTTTCATCTATGTTGATCTATTCAAGATACAAGAGATCCGGGAAAGAGTAAGCAATAGGCGATAATGATAATACCCATTAAGTATGGAGAGTGGGCAAAAATTGACATCTACCCAGATTGACCAAAGTGCTTGTCTTTCACTTTCGATGCAATTCTATAGTACAGAAAAATTCATGAAAGGTCTATGATTATTGATTTTTCATATACGGAAATTGTATGACTATTCTTTTTTTCATAAACCCTTAAGAAGCATTTTTTGTTCCGACCATTTCGAAAACTTTAATTTTGTCTTCTTTTCGTTGTTTTGACCAAATTGATTTTCCGAGCTCTCCCAAAGCAATAAAAAGACCTTGCTTGGAGTAAAAGAAATACTGTGCCCAGGAAATAGTTTGAAAAAAAACGGGCCAAAAAGAGGCCGAATTGCTTCCCGCTCATAAATCCGCCCCTGCCTTTCAGTCGTGATTTTAGAAATTTCTCAGAATCAAGAAAAACAGATTTAAACTTTTGGCATTTTGTCTAAACTTGAGCAGATGATGCGAGCGATCAGGCTTAGAATAGGTTATTTCTGCCTAATTTAGGCCATCAAAATTTTAATTTACTCGAGTAAAGTATTTTGAATTTTTTAGCGGAATTAAAAACTTCAAAAATTCAAAAAATTTCAGCAAAAAAATAAATTTTCGAAATTTTTTAATTTTTTTTTCTTATTTTTTTCATTTTTCTTTGAAAATTTTTGTCCAATTTTAGTAATTTACAATAACTGCCGAGTGTTTATAAGTTTTTCATTTAGATCTTTTTATCACACCATGCAGAAAAAACGACACTTAATTGAAAAAAAACACACTTTTTTGTATTTTTAAGACTATGGTCGGGAAATTCTCTGCTACTTGCACAGTAACAGGCTAGCCTTTGTTTTAACTTAACTTCGTTAAACTCGCTAGTTTTTGGAAATTTAACTTATAATTAATTTTGCTTCTGCCAAGACTTTTACACTTTGCACTGCAAAAGAAAAAATGGTTTTCAGGTTAACCGTTTTGAGGTTGACATAGCTGAGTTTCTAGCTATAAAATGCAAAATCAGAATATTTTTTGTCTTTGTTGAACAGTTCTAAAAATTTGCAACTTCTTAATGTCAACTTTGGACCACATGTGAAAAATTATAGTAAAAAGAAGTATTCTACAACTTCATTTTGCAATAAAACATATTATCAAAAATCATAAAACAATCGCGATAGTGAAGTTCCCAATAATCAAATTCACAAAAATCATGATAACAGTACAATTGATAGTAATAGTTCATAATAATAATTCATCATAATAGTATTAATATAATAATATTATTATAATAATAGATCATAACAATTATAACCATGAAACCAGAGTGAAGCCATGAATGATCCGACTGCATTTACGGCCAATCAAAATATTTTTGTTTGAAAAATAGACGCATTATTGAAAAAAGTGACAAATGAAAACTTTTTTTTTTCATTTTTTGCTTCACCGTATTCTTCCACACGATAATGCGAGCTAGAGAGGGATGTATTTAGCGTATGTCTGAATCAATTTGGATAATTTTATGCATCCTATATATCGTGAGTAAATTATGCCAAACTGGCCAAACTAACAATTTTCAAAACCGCATAGTCTTATGAAGGGTAATCACAGATTAAAACTTTTTACATTTGAGCTCCGGATCAGAAAATCTGTGTCAGATGGTACAAAAAAATTACCGTGGAAATTTCTTAGCTAAACAGTCGAAAATTGACTTAATAAAAAAACCGGTTCAAGCATAAATATTCCGTTTTCTTCGAAAAATGGAAAAACAACGATTGTTGAGAAAGTAAAGAATATATATTGTTACAGATATCAGTTACTGTTTTCAATCGTTTCTTTTGCCAATAGTATTGACAGTCATGCAGCAAAAACCAAGTTTGTACGCAACATTAAAAAATTTTGTTGTCGTTGTTTATTTTCTCAAGAAGGTTAGCTTGATATGGCGCCAAACTAAGCTTTCCTGAATCGCAACTCATATAACTTTCAAGCAAAAGCTGCATTTTGCAGCATTTTTGCTTCCCAAGTTCTTCTAGTACACCAAATCTTGAAAATGCTTTGAATGGATACAACAGGAATCGCTAAAGAAGGAAAACGTCTTCAACTTTAAGATACTAACCAGATTAGTCGTGTCAGCCGTCATCTGAGCTCACTCTATTCGCGAACACTGGATTTCCTTAAGTTCAAAATAACGTGTAATTCCTCGGTTGCTCGCTTTTTCTTGCCGCGTTTAAACAAATTGTTTTGCTTCGAATTTCTCAATTCTTTCTTTACGTGTGAAATTTCTTTACTACTAATTCCAAACTTATGTATTTAACTGAGAGTTCCTTTAACATGGGATCACGTTTTGAGAAAGACATGTATTCCTCGATGCTGAAAAAGATTTCCGACACCAATGTGAGACAGATTTTCGATAAATTATTGACGGATCTGGGCAAAAAAGATGAGATTATTCTAGATCTTGCGAACAAAGTGGATGATTTGGAGCAAAGAGTATCTGCACAGGAAAGGTATTCTTCTAAGGATTGCCTAATTTTGGAGAACCTGCCAATAGTAAACAATCAGGTACCGTTGTCACATCAGGTATGCGATTTTTTGGCCCAATTTCTTCAGTATAAAACTAGCCCGAGTAATTTTAAAGCCTGTCACTTGCTTGGAACGTGGAAAAATATCAATTATCCCCCAGCTGTGATAGTTAAATTTTTATATTTTGGGGAAAAAAGTGAAATCTACAACAGAAAATCTTGGTTGGCTAACATTCGAAACCCGAATAACAACAAACAAATTTTTCTCAAGGAAAGGCTTCCACCGGCAGACCGTCTACTCAAACAATACGCTGATGATTTGGGTCTTGTAAATACCAGTCAGAATTGTCAGGTTAAAATGTTTAAAATGGAAAACAGAGGAATTTACAAATCTTTTCCCGTTAGTTCGAAAAAGGCGATTGATGATATGAAACACTTAGCGACTAAGAAATCTGACAAATTTCAGTCGAAAACTGGAAAATCTACGGAAAATTATAGTGTATCTGATTATGAAAGAAATACGACACCAATCAGAGCAAATAATATTCAACGGGAGGAGAATATTAAATCTATTCTGAAGCGATTACGTGACTCCCCAGAGCAAGAAGGAGAACAATTATTGGAGCAATTATGCAAAAACAGAAAAACTCTTTCAGAATATGTTGTAAATCCCTACGAGGAAGGTTCATAGTTATTCATACATTCTTGCATGCTCTATGGGGTTGGGATTGATGAAGCATACAAGAATGTTTGAGCGTGGCTTGCAAGTCAGCGCCTAATTTTTTCTGTTTCTTATTTTTGTTGATAAATGAGTAAATTATATTATCGAGAACTCCTAGAGGGGAGACAAGTGGGCGTATTAAATAGCAGTTTTCTTTTTTTCTTGAATATTAGATCTTTGCGATGTCATTATGATGAGTTAAAAATTCTTATTGACGACTTTGAGGTTAAGCCACCAATAATAGCCCTTTGCGAGACATGGCTAACGGACAATGATCCCTTATCAATTTATTCAGTTGAAGGCTACCAACCTATAATAACTACTAACAGAAAAGGTACTCGCGGAGGTGGTTGTGCATTTTTCGTTAGATCGGATTTAAAGGTGTCAAAATTGCAATTGGAATCAGATCTTGAGTTTCTAGCTATATCTGTTAAAAATGAAAAACATTCGAAAAATTTTATTGTTTTGTATAGAAAACCATCTTCTGCGCTAAACGACTTTTTTGAAAAGCTAGAATCTTTCCTGGATACGGTGGCTACTTGGAAAAACCAAACAATAATATGTGGTGATTTTAACATAGATTCACTTGATGCTTCAATCACTAGTGAGAATTTTTTGACATTAATGAACTCACATGGGTTTCTCCAACGCAACTTTAAATCCACACGTGTTACATCTTCAAGTCAGTCTTGTATTGACTATATCTTTACCAATTCTTGTTTGAACAAAATAAATACTTTAAAAACTGTAATCAGTGACCATTACTCAATTTTACGTGAAATTGATGACTTTAAAAGTAAAAATGACATAAAAACACAGAGCGTTTTCCGAAACATAAATCCATTGAAAAATGACAAAAACCTGGTGGATTTCCTTTTCTTACTACATGAAAAACTCAATAAAATGCAAAGTTCACTAAACGCTGATGAGCAGATAACTTACATTGTAAACAGCTTAACACGTGTTTTAGATAAATTTTGCCCATTATCTCAGGTGAATAATAAAGCAAAACCAACTTGGATTACCCAGGATATTAAAAAGCAAATGCAAAAGAGAAACATGTTCTACAAAAAATGGATAATTGATCCAACTCCGACAAATTTAGAGAAATATAAATTGTCCCGAAATTTAACCACATCGCTAATAAGAAATTCGAAACTAAAATTTTACCAACAAAAAATCGAAAAATCGAAAAACAATAAATGTATTTTTCAGGCATATAACGATTTCATACAAAGCAAAACATCTGCCAAAATAGAAGTTGAAGCTGATGTCTTCAATCAGTTTTTCGCACAAATTGGTAATAAATTAAGTGGTAAAAAAGTCAATCATAAAATTGCCTTAAGGCATGTTAAATCTATACCTAATTCAATGGTTTTTCAGGAAATAACAACAAAAGAAGTTTTTGATACAATTATTCTTATTAAAAATAAGGGGTCTTCAGGTCCGGATGGTATAAGTAATCAAATTTTGAAACTCTCGTCGACGGTTATTAGCGAACCTTTGTCAAAGTTATTTAATCAATGTATAAAGCAAGGAACGTTCCCGAATGCACTAAAAATTGCAAAGGTGCTTCCGTTTTATAAAGATGGTAATTGTCAACTACCAGAAAGCTATAGACCAATAAGTTTACTCAATTCGATAAGCAAGGTTTTTGAAAAGATCATTTTTGGCAAAATGTATAAGTTTCTAAGAAAATATCGAATTCTCACACCAGAGCAATACGGATTTCAACCTAAAAAAAGTTGCGCTGATGCTTTATTAGAATTTACCGAGTTCATTCGAGAAGTTATTGATAAACGCCGTTACGGTGAAACATTTTTCATCGATTTCCAAAAAGCTTTTGATACAATAAATCATGAGCTACTTATTCTTAAGTTAGATAAGTATGGAATAAGGGGTAAACTGAACAAACTTATCCGGAGTTATTTAACTGATCGCAAACAATATGTTACTTTTGACCAAAAAGAATCTCGAATAGAACATTCAACATGTGGCGTTCCGCAGGGTTCTGTTTTAGGACCTCTGTTGTTTCTAATCTTTATTAATGATCTTCCGATTGTTTGTAATACAATTAAACCAGTTTTATATGCAGATGATACAACTTTATGTTATTCAAGTACAATAAGGACAAATAAAATTGAAAACGAAATGAAAAATATTGAAAAATGGATTGATTGTAATGGCCTGACAATCAACTGTAAAAAGAGCGTTTTTATGAGTTTCGGGAAAAATGTTGAAATGATCAATGTATTTGGAGATAATTTTCAATCGAACTGCCAATTGCCTGTTAAATATTTGGGATTAAAAATTGACAATAAACTGAGTTTTAAGCAACATATAGGTGGCATTGTTAAAAAGTTATCAACTTTCTGTGGAATAGTTTACAAATGTCGTGAAGTTTTTCCGAAAGCAAGTCTTCTGTTGTTCTACAGAGCATATGCTCAATCCGTAATTCAATATGGTATTCTTATTTATGGCAATACATATAAAACTCATCTCGATTCAATTTTAAAACTACAAAAACGCATCACGCGGGCTATATTCTTCAAACGCAAATTTGAACCAATAACCCAATATATGAGTGAAAACAAAATTTATTCAGTCTTTAATATGTTTCTGAAGTCTCTCTTCAAAGAATTATTTGAAATTTTAAGATGCCCCGATAAGAATAGTTTTTTGAGTTTATCGAGCCTAGAAAGGCTTCCTCACACCCGCAGCAAGACTAAAAAACAAATTACAAATATAGCTTTTAAATCAAATGCCATGTATTCTCTCTTAAAAGTAGGCTAGCAATAGCATATAATTTTGTTTTTCAGAATAATTTACTTCCAAAAGATTTTTTCGAATTAAATAAATCAGAACTGAACCGTTTTCAGGAATCTTTTTTCCATAATTATATTTTTGATAATGAATTCTTACACAAACTGCTCTTTAATTGATGCCCACTCTGGAGACTTTATGTCTCTGCTCTTTAAGTTCTCGAGGTGTCCCACTCGATGAGATGAAATTCTCTTTGGGTCACCCTCCATGCCTTATAATAGTATTCGTTACTGTTGTAATGTAGATGGTAAATTAAATTAACAAAAAATTTCCCTAGCGCAGAAAAGTAGCCAGCAATCCTGAAATAATTTAATCAGTTCAGATCAAAAAAGAGTTCAAAAAACCCTTTTTGAGCTAGTGCTTACCCGTACCGAGTGCCCATGGATCCTAATCAATTATATTGTCATAATATGGTCACTATCCATCAAATTACAAAAAAAAATTATGCGAATATAATCCTAAGCTTTTTATGCCAATATAATCCATTATAATCGATCATTATCGATTATTATGGATTTTTGCGAGAAGTTAATCATGAAATTTACAAATTTTTTCAAAGTTATCTCATTTCTTGTTTAGAGCAGTGGCTACGTATTACGTTTCATAAAATTTTACATTTCACATTAAAATTTTTATTATTTGTGTCTCTACTTTTTCAATTCATTACACCCTCCTCCTACTTTAACCCCTCCCCCCGTTTACCACCCGCCCCCGTTTACCATGGATTATAATGGATTTTAAATTCAAAAATAATCAATTATTATGGATCATCTTGGCAAAAATAATCGATTTCTTTGTCAAAACTAATGAATTATATTCGATTATCGATTATAATCGATTATCTTGTGAATCCATTATAATTGATTAGAATCCACGGGCGCTCAAAGCGGGTAATGTTAAATAATTTTGAGATTTCCCATTTATTTAAATTTCCCACGAGCGAAAGTAAAACTGAATGCTTTTAGAAATTGGTTAGATTGCTGCTTTTCAGTTCTAAATTCTAGACAAACTAACAATTTTTCGTAAAACATGCTCATGAAACTGTATTAAACATGCAAAAACTGATAATCAAACATTGGGTTGTAAATTTTGATTACATGTAACCAGCAGGCCAGTAAACATTTCAAGTAAGCTGTTGTAGACCATAAAAAAAAGAAAACTCGCTGGTCAAAGATTACGCTAGGTATAGAAAGTGTGATGGGTTTCTATTTTCTAAAAAATGATTGCTTAAGGCAGCTGGTTCTGCAGTTTGACGAGTCAGGAGAACTTTTGGCTCAGACTAATGTTTTTGATCTCAGCCTCTTGGCTCACCCTTAGAACGTGACTGCCCAAAAAGTTCTATGTTTTTTAGCCGAAAAGCGCAGTTAGACTTTGAAATTTGCTCCTGCCAACAATGTGCTCTTTTTTGAAGACTAGCCATGAGCTTATATGTTCTGCTCTTTTCTGTAGGGAAACTTGATTTTTTGAATGTACTATACCGCATGTGAACTATCCATGCAGTTTTTTTTACAAAGAACCAGGCTGGAATTGAATTTTTGTTAGCTCCAATTATCCAAATAATGAAAAATGAATAGCTGTTTGTTAAAGTTTTCAGAAAAATTAAAAAAAAACTTATTTTTATTAAAAAGAGCTGTTGATTTTAATTGCTGGTCCAAAATTGACCGATAATCGTAAAAAAAAACATTTTGTACCATACATTTTGTAACCTGATTTCTGAAATACAATTTTTAAAATTTAGTAAGATTTACGCTAAGCTCAAATCCTCTTTTTTGAGCGAAACTTATCGACTTAAACCTACTCAAACCTACGTTTTAGACAGTGTCATAACAATTCGACATGGTTTCAGTTTGATCAGGTCTGTATAAAAATTGACGATTTGGACCTTCGATACCCAGAGTGTCGTATGCACAGCATCAAAATAAATTAACTTTGCGTACCAGCTGTGGAATCGAGAACAACTAGCTATATTTGCTTGTTGCGGAATCCGCAACAAAACAATGTGCCGACAAAATTTACGTTGCAGGTATTTTTATTACAGGTAAATGGAATTCACTTACATTTTGGAACATGTTTAAAGACTTGTCTCTGGAATCCAGGAACATACACACACAAAATTTTGCGCCTATCCAGTGCACAGTTTGGCCTCGTAATGACAGTTAATCGTAATTTTGTCTTAGATAAGACGACAAATTAAGAAACAAAACAACCGTTTGCGGTGCAAGTAGCAAAGAATGATCTTTCTTTACCCTCCTGTAAATGTAAGCCACCTCATTATATCTCTTATGTTCAAATTGTAGAAAATTATTTTTCTAAATAAATTTTTCCTTAATTAAGTTATTTTTTTGAAATTTTTTTGGTAATTTTAAATCTATAATTTTTAAATGTTAGTTAAAAAATTCTACAAACATCCATCAATTAAAAAATTTCGCTGAGTTTTCTCGTAGCTCTCTGACACTAATCGTATAGCATGTTCATTCAATCATTCAATATTGTGACTGCTCCTTAAAACCTTGAATAAAAAAAGAAAACCCTAGCGCTAACAAGGCAATGTGTAAAAATTGCCTAGCTTTTCAGTTTTTTTTATCTTGAAGCACAGCACTTTTATATTCGTTTTCTTTTTGTAATCATATACGATTAATGAAAAAAATTTGAACTTAAGAAAAAAACAGTTTTTTTTCAGTAGATTGAACGTGAAAACTTACTATTTGTATAATTATTATTTCTTTTGAACAAATTTAAGCTCTTGATTTCTCTATGAAATTCATTTTTGAGAATAAAAGCAGTATAAAAATTGATGTTCCTTGCCGCGTAATAACAGTAACTCTAATTTTACTTGTGTGCCTTTGTTATACTTTGAACAGTTTTTAGCGCACAACAATCTGGATTTTAGTAAACTTTCTGTTTCTGGTCATGTATGACTTGTTTTGAGCACAAAATTTTTGAAAAGTCTCAATTGCCAAATTTGTTTTAAAGGAAAAAGATAAACCTAAAATAAAATTTAGGTTTCAAGTTTTGGGAGGTTTGTTTTGCAGTTATTGTAAACATTCGTGATACGTTTTCATATTATGAAACCTTTATTGTTTTGAACGTTTTTGAAACATTGGAAAAGGGTTCTCGCATTTTTACTCATTTCAGCATGGATTGTGGACTGGCAAGTTTTTTGCCTATTATTACTACTATTCACCAAGTGCGCAGTGGAACAATAGCGAGTACAACAACGACACAGTGACGTCATTGTTTGTTCCTCGGGGAACTTTTTGGACGCCTGATATTAGTGAGTACAGGTGCAATGAAAGTTTTCACGGTTGTTTGAACCGTGACGACCGTATGATGTAATAAACCAGTTCAACTAAAAACTTCTTTTATTTTAAAATGAAGAGCCGTAGATTTGTTTATATTCTAGTTGTTCACGAGGCTTCCGATCTGAAGTATGAAGCTTTCGATAGACAGGTTGTGTTTAACTCTGGAATGATACTGGCATACACTTCTCTTATGACATATCAGATGAATTGCTTGTTTGACGTTTCTCAATTTCCATTTGATTCTCAGCAGTGCATAGCAACATTCACCACTCATGCCTCGCATCCTTGTGACTACAATTTGGGTAAATGAGGTTTTTTATAAACGTTTTCTGAAGTTGATAAACTGTTAAGCAAGTTTTACAATTAATTTAAAATGACCTTTGAGAGACAAATACGTTTTTTTTTTCATGTTTGTTTTCGGTACAAAAATTTTGTGTTGTGATAAATTCAGCTATTGAAAGCCAGTTCTTCCCACCTGATGAAAACAACATAACACACCTCCCTTTGATATACTTTGTCCCGAGTGACCAGTGGCAGCTCGAAATTCCAGTTGAAATTGAAATGGATCGACTAAAAGCAAAACTAGAAGATCAGTTTCGACCAGTTATCAGACTAAAGATTAATTTACAGCGGCGTCCTTTGTTTTACAAACTGGTTCTTGTCTATCCTTCTGTGATTCTGTACCTGTTATCACCCGTCACTTATTTCATTCCTCCGGACTCTGGGGAGAAAGTATCTTTTGCAGTGACCATTCTACTCACTGAAGTAGTCTCCTATGCGACTTTGGTAGATATTCTGCCTGCTAGTTCACTTAATGTGCCATATTTGGTCTACTTTTTGACAGCTGCTACCTTGCATTTGACGTGGAACTGCGTGACTGCTGTCATAGGTAAGTTAAAAATGTTTTTGCTAGGCTGAGGTGTCAAACCGTAAGTATATAGGATAACAAATTTAAACGTAGTTCATCTGTTTTGAAAGAGTTTTAAAGTGGAACTTATACCCTCAAGAACTCCACTACGAGCCCAAGCTTGGTTTTATAGCACAGCACAAAAGTGAGCTCGATCGCTTGTGATATCCACGAACACGTGTGTTATGATTTCATTTTTTCAATTACATGTCAGCTTGTGTCGCTATGTTCCACGGACAAAGGTCCACGGATTTGAAACTACAAACAAAAAAAACCGAGCTTGAACCACAAAGTCGTAAAGTCTTTTAATGAATTTTGCAGAACTTAATTTTTTTTTCAGTGGTGAATACTCATAAAAACTCTCCCGTCTTCAAATTGTGCTACTGGGTAGAGAGAATAAAATCCAGCAACTGTTTAAAGTACTTTGGATACGGAACCTTTGCCTCAAATTCATCATTCACATTAAATGGATCGAAAGATATCATTTTGACGAGTATTGCTGCGGCTGGATCGGAATCAAAGGGAGTTCAATTGAATGAACCTAAAGGCACCAAACAAAATGAACAAAGACATACAAAACAGCCAACAAAAGATGAAACCGAAACAGACAGCGATGCTTCTGCCTTAAAGTGGCGATATTTGGCAGCTTCCCTGAACCGAGTCTTTTTCTGTTTTCATGTTTTGGTCACTGTTGTTGTATTGCTTCTATTTTATTTGTTCATTGAGCCTTATTGAACAAAAATCCAGAAAAACCCTCATCCAGTGTCGGGTGCTCATCTTATTTTTTGACTTTATCGACAATATTCGCCATGTTTTGACGTTTTCGACCAAATACACTGATGCTTCGACCATTTCGGTTAAACTCCGGCTAGTTTGGACATTCTAGATCAAAGAGTGCTCGACTTGTCTCGACCCAAGCCAGATATGTTTCGACAGTCTTGGCCAAATTCGAGTTCGTTTCGACGTTCTCGACAGAAGAAAAATATGTTCCAGCTTAGGAAATGTTTCGACCGTTCTCGATGTAAGTTTTGAGTTTGCGCTTGGCCCAACCCTGCCTTCTTTTCAGTCGAGCAATGAAACTGTACTCAACTTTGAAAATCGAAATATAAAGTGAGCTCCTCGACCCGGGGTAACAAGTATTTGCAATAAAGCAATCCACCTCGACCATAAAATAATGAGTGCAGATAGTAAATAACCAAAATCAGAATTAATTTATGTATTTGTGCATAACTATCTCTGCTTGCAAGTTAAGTCTGACTGCAATCTCGTTTTTTGCTAGCCAATTGAGAATCCTTCATTCCAAATTTTGGGTGCTTGTTTCTAAAACGTCCCGTTATTCGAGCGTGTTTTCCCAGACTGCAAATGAGGTGAAAAGTTGGTCGGTTCATTTTGATACCCACACCCCCAAACATTTGATGATTCTTGTATTGTTACAGAAAACGAGACATTTTTTTTAACGTAGTTTCACACTTTTTTGAGCGTAGTTTCGTTCATTTCAAATCAAAAGAACAGTGTTCTAATTGAGTGCTTATATGAGTATTTATATCCAATTATATTATTGATAAAACTATCTCTACAAAACATTTCTAACTAATCAATCATGATCCATAACTAACACTTACAATTATTTGTTACGCTGAAACTATTCATAAATATAACTAAAAAAAATCAAAATCAAATATAACTTAGAAGACAGAAGTTCCTGATATCTGACTCGCAAATACCAGCATACACTAGATCTATTGAGACTAGGAGATAATAAGAGTAAGATTAAGATTTGTATTAGACTGAGAATTTGAGCGAATCTATCCGGCCGAAAATAACATAGCGTGACGAACAGACGATGTACTTTATCTGAAATTACTCAATGAGTGAGCCGCCCGGACATAAACTCATCTGGTGCGACCAAGGGTCTCAAACTAGACCTCAACAAGTTTAGATTTAGCAAATTCAATACAATAGAAAGCGATCAAAAATACATCAAAAAAGATTAGACGGTATAGAAAATGTTTAAGTACGTCTCTACGTCTCAATAAGTCTAATCCATTGCTTCAAACGATATGACAATCACCAGGTCAAACCCGAACAACAGAACGAGCTTCTATATTGTGAAATGACGCAGACTGCAACGACTATTCCTTGACAAAATTCTCAATGCAGAAAATTTTCATTCACTAACATGATATGAAATTACTTGGAGCAGTAGGATTCATAGCCAAGCAAAACACCTCTCAACGATGTATAACCACATTATATAGCATAATATCGACTGATAAAAGATACAAGTGTCGTTCATATCATTAAAATTTGCAGTAACTTAAAAAGTGTTGTAAAATTAAAATATATTCAATAAAATATACAAAAACTAGTTAGAAGATATTTTACAGTTAACTTTAAATTTATACAAAATACCTTGGTTTTTAGAGGTTTACACCATTATCTAAAATTTCCTTGTTCCTTCATTTAAAACATAACCAAAATCATTTAAAAACTAAAATCATTCAAATCCATAATTTTTAAATCAACTTCATTCAAAACTTATAATCTTTCAATAAAATTAAACCTTAAACTTGAGTATTGTCATGACTTGTCCTTTTTTTGTAATTATCTGAAAGTTCTTCAAACTAGATCATCAAGGCTATCCTTGGATCCTTAATTTTAAACTTCACCTTAAACTTTAATTTATTTAAAGAATATTTGATAATCAAGGTTTTCCTTGGATCAGTCAGAACAATTTCGTTCTCCCCGCCTCCTTTTAAAAAGTGTCTAACGACCTCAAACGTCAATTCACTCTCCAAACTTTATCAACAAAATAAGAAGAATAGAATTTTTTGAACAAATAACTATTCTAATCAAGATAAACAGTGAAGAACGTCGGTTACTCATCCTTGAGCCCCTCCTCTTAATTGACACAGGCTAAAAAAATAATAAACAAGCTAAGATCGATAATAGTATCTAACGATCTACTTGTGTTCTAACTATTCTTGAACCTCGTGGATTGATTTACTATTCTCCAACCCTTAATCACAAGTCACTACCTTAAGTAAGATTATATAAGTTTTTCTTAAAATAAATATTGGCCACTGAGAAAGTACAACATCATTCAAACGAAGTGATATACTCTCTCTCGAACCCGTCTATACTCGACAACCTATGACCAAGTTAGGATAACCTCACAAAAATTGTATAAACTAATAGTTTAGGAAATATAAAACCTAACCCCTGGATTTTGCAACCATCATCCTAACACTTATGTCAAGAGATAAATTAGGAAATAAACAAACAATAGTACTCCACAATTGTTTAATTCAAAAGAAAATTTACGATTTTGAATTGACACAAATATACGAGATTTGATTGATGACAAAAATGTGTTTCCGAATGAGATTATACAACACCATCATCTATAAATGGTAAACAGAGAAAAAAATCATACCTTCGTAAACCAGTACGACTCTATAATTGGAATCACCCAACAAGACGTATTGAAAGTTACACATTAAAACAGTGAAGTTCGAAGTGGTAAATGACTTGGGGGTTCCGATGATTAGGTTTTGTTTGAGTGCTGAGGATTGAAAACTGGTAACAAATAAATTTTCAGTGACAAATTCCATTATATTTAACACTCATGTTTTTTTCGGATTTTTTTTTCACGTACAATGATTATTTTTTTACAAAAAAATTCTAATTCGTAGTTGGATTTCTTATTTTCTTATCTATGGAATCATATAGAGATCATAAATCCCATCTTGTTTCAAAATTATGACTTCAAAAACACATTGTACGACCGTTTTTTCTAAACTAAAAAACAATGAAAAACTAAAGAATGACAGTAAACTTCGCTCCTTTGTCAATATGCTTCAGCGAGAGACCACAAATCAAGTTACGAATGTGGCATTTAATCCAAAGACGAATATTTGTAAGGCAAGCTATCGTTAGCTTATAATTTTGTATTTCATGTTAAGTCGTCTTCCTAAAATGTTATGTAATTGGTAAAGTGAAAAAGAATCTTTTTACGGGTGTTTTTTGATAAGCCAAAATTAATCATTGCAATGGCTCAATAATCCGGATAATTAAATTTTCGAGAGAACCCAGAGGATGAGACCAAAGCTTCTTTGACACAATTTTCAGTCATTTATAGGTCCACAGAAAATAGTTCAGACAGGATACCATATGAAAACACGCAACTCATGTTTGATGCCGTATTTAAAAACGATGAAATGTCTTTTATTTTTCACCGATCTAGCTCTTTATAATAGAATAAAAAAGGGCTCAACAAGCGATTACGGTGAAAATTGTTCAGTAAGAAAAACAGTTGTATTTTTTGATTAGCACTGGTGTGGCTAACTCATTACATTAAATACTGCGGCTGTTTTGAAAAATTGAAACTTTTGCTTGTGCTCTATTTACGACAGGTTTTGAATGACTTAAACAATGAAATTTTAGTTTGTGCATGTTTTTTCTCAATTGTTTTACCTCAAAGGAAGCAAAACTTCGACAGAAGCGCAAAATCAGTTATTTTTTAAATGATTCAATTGCTAAAAAATTATATGACCTGTGATCAAAAAAAGATAATTATCTCAAATTACACAAGCAAGGAAATGTTTTCCGCAGTGTTTGACTGAATGCGTGCTAAGTTTTGGCGCAACTGACCCATGATGATTGCAATCATCCCAACTCACTAACGGTTGTTGCAGAAGTAAGCCTCTTCGCGCTTTTTTAATCTCGTCTTAATGTGATATGCTCAAACTCTAATAGAATCGACCCGCAAGACGACAACTCGCAACAGAAAATAACCAACAAAAAGACAACTCGTATAAAGTGACAGTTAGCACAACTCGCAAAACGCGACCAATCGCATTAAACTTGTAGTATAATCCCACAATTAACCCTAAACTAAGATCCGTAACCCCCCATTGAATGTCCCTTAGTTTTATAAATATTCGAAACAATTATTGCGGAAATGCATGGGTCATTTTGTTCGTTTAACATTAGAAATTGAGTTGTGTTATTTGGTGAATCGCCATTATGATTTCTAAAGATGTTTCTATTTTATTGAAAAATGTTACAACTCAATGCAGGTGACCAGGTAAAACGAATCTTTGAGGATGAAAAAACTAAAGAAGTTCGATTAAATAAAAAAAAGCGTGATAACAAATTAAAATGCTCAGTCTTCCTTTTTTGAACTCTTTCAATTCGACATTCAATCAAATTCGTTTCAGAAGGGGTAAAATAGAAAATCTGTTGAGCGGGTATAGCAGTTTAATATTATATGCAAGAATCAGTCTTGATAAATACTTTTTAAAAAACTTCGAGCAGCTGAAAGGTCTGTAACGGCTAAAATATTATTTTTCCAAAAAGATTAAGGATTAAGTGCCATGCAAAAAGTAAAGGAGCGCGCGCAAAACACGCAGAATTCTCTTTATCAAATGGTGACATGCAAATATTGCTACAATTCTGTCGATTTCAAGACCTGTTCAACGCGAAATAGCCAATGGGTTTGCGTCAATGACTGTGGGGACATCGTAGTTTCCATGAAAATTCAGGCCACCCCAAGGGAGACAAAGTTTGGCAAATACTGAGGACCGTATAATCGTGACCGCCTTCGTGTGTTCACCATTGAAGAAGGGGACTGTGACCGATTTCTTGTTTTGCCGCTGGAAGGGGACCGTAGAAGAAGGGGACCGTAGAATCGTGACCGCCTTCGTGTGTTCACCATTGAAGAAGGGGACTGTGACCGATTTCTTGTTTTGCCGCTGGAAGGGGACCGTAGAAGAAAGGGACCGTAGAATCGTGACCGCCTTCGTGTGTTCACCATTGAAGAAGGGGACTGTGACCGATTTCTTGTTTTGCCGCTGGAAGGGGACCGTAGAAGAAGGGGAGCGTAGAATCGTGACCGCCTTCGTGTGTTCACCATTGAAGAAGGGGACTGTGACCGATTTCTTGTTTTGCCGCTGGAAGGGGACCGTAGAAGAAGGGGACCGTAGAATCGTGACCGCCTTCGTGTGTTCACCATTGAAGAAGGGGACTGTGACCGATTTCTTGTTTTGCCGCTGGAAGGGGACCGTAGAAGAAGGGGACCGTAGAATCGTGACCGCCTTCGTGTGTTCACCATTGAATAAGGGGACTGTGACCGATTTCTTGTTTTGCCGCTGGAAGGGGACCGTAGAAGAAGGGGACCGTAGAA